CAGTCTGGGAATCTGAAGAGAATGAGGTCAATGCTATAAGTTGGCTACATCTGTTACTTTGAATCTTAATAGATAATAGCTTTAATTAAATGTATGAGATTATATAACCTTGTTAGATTAATCAGTGGCTGATGGAGGAGCATATGTAAAAATTAGAGGCCCAGTGCACAAAATTTGTGCATGGGTGTGGACCCTAGGCCTGGCCAGCGATCGAAGCATAAGCATCTGGCATGGAAGGGCAGGTCCCAGCTGACCTCTGGGTCCCCGTGCACTGCTCTGCCTGAGTCACAGTGCCTGAGTCCCCACAATGAGATGTGGAGAGCACGGCTGGACACAGCGGGCCGTAGTACAGCGTGGGCCTCTGGGCCACCCAGCAGCACCACATGGAAGCTGAGCGGGCAGCGTGCTCTCCTGGCCAGCCTTGCAAACTGGCTCCTGCATGAACCCATGGGGACCGTGACAGGCCCCCATGGTGCCTGGGGCAGCGGCCCGGCTCACCCGGAAGAGGCTGTGCAGGTGCATGGCAGGCTCCTTGTGGGTGCCCAACACCTGAGCGCAGGGAGTGGGGGGCTTCTCCGGCATGTGAGCCCTGATGTCCCTGGGGAGGTAGCAGGGGGAGAGAGCAAGTTTGGCAGACACTGCACTCTCACCGCACCTCTGTCCCTGTCACCTCCGCCTCCAGGTAGCCAGTGAGAGATCACAGCGCATCACTGACTGCCATGTTCAGCGCCACCCCCTGGTGGTCAGTGCATGTCATAGCGAGCAGTCAAATTCCTGGTCGGACAATTGCCTGAGGGGATAATTTGCATATTAATTAGGGTTTTATTATATAGGATTTTAGTTTGGCCAAGAACATGTCATGCAAAGGAGTGAATTGTGAGAGGCAATCAGCTATAGATCCCATGTCCCTGCATGCTCTTGTTGGGTATGTCAAGACTACAGTTCTCTGACTGCTCTTTATCTGGGCTATTTCTCAGGGTTGTATTTGCATCCACATGAGAAACCTTGAGGGGTGAGGTAATGTCTCCCCCTGGAAAAAGAGCAGACTTGCTTCCACTTAATAGTGGTAAATCTTAGTGTACCTCTTCTGTAATGCAACCCACTGTGATCACTTTGCATCACTTCTTTGAGACTTGAGGGGAAGGGAGACAAATGAGCTTGAACCTCTGATTACTGCTTTTGCAGTGAGTAATAAAGCCCTTTTTGAGTCTTGTGTCTTGCCAGCATCCATGAAACTGGCAGGCTGACTTTTTAAGCTAAGTTGGGTAAAATGTCAAAGCAGCCCATTTCCTGACACCCCCTGCCCAGTTAATTTTGAAAAAGCATTTCAGCATATATCTCTAAAGTGACTTTTAAAAATAGTATACATGCTGCTGAGGTGGGCACTCATGATTTCTTGCCCAGCCAGTGTGGCTCAGTGGTTGAGTGTTGACTTATGAACCAGGAGGTCATGGTTGGTTCCTAGTGGGGGGTGTACAGAAAGCAGCTGATCAATGATTCTCATCTCTGATGTTTCTACTTCTCCCTCTCCCTCTCTGAAATCAATATTAAAAAAAAAAAATTTCTTAAAGAGGAAACAACCAGTCATTAACTCTAAATTTATATAATTCCGTAATATCATTCCAGTCACACCAATTTAATGGGTAATTCTTTACTGGATATAATGTGGTAGGCAATGTAAGTGTGAAAGCTAAGAAGGGTAGCTTCCTTTTACTAAGAGTAATTCTGAAGTCAAAAGTCAGAATTACTGCTGGTGTCATTAGCTCTTAGAAGTTTATTTGCAGTACTGTAATTGTGTTGTATGAAAATATAACCACAATGGTGGCAACTGACAATACAAATAGACTGACAAAATGTTGGTAAGGATATGGAGTAACTGAAACTGAAACATTAATAGCGAGGTATAAAATGGTATAACCACTTTGAACAATGGGCAGCTCTTTTTAAAAAAGTATATATTTTTTATTGATTTTAGAAATGGAGAGAGAAACATCAATGATGGCCCTAGCTAGTTGCTCAGTAGTTAGAGTGTCAGCCCTCTGGGGTTGTGGGTTCAACCCAGGGCACATACCTGGGTTGCAGTCTCAATCTGTCTGGCCCCAGTTGGGGCGTCTGCAGGAGACAACCAAACGATGTGTGTCTCACATTGATGTTTCTCTCCATGTCCCTTCCCCCACTCCCACTTTCTCTAAAATCAATGGAAAATATCCTCAGGTGAGGATTAACCAAAAAAAAAAAAAAAAAAAAAAAAGGAAAGAAACATCAATGATGAGAGAGAATCACTGATCAGCTATCTCCTGCACATCCCCCCATTGGTGATCTAGCCCGCAACGTGGCCATGTGCCCTGACTGGGAATCAAACCGTGACCTGTTGGTTCACAGGTTGACCCTCAAACACAGCCATGCCAGCGGGGCATGTTTGATTTTCCAGGTAATGTAAATATAAACTGTCTACATAGAACTGAGAAGCTGAGCAGGAATGTTCTTCGATGAAATTCAAGGCTTTAATTCACTGTAACTTGTTCTAGTTCTATTATATCTAAGAAGTCAAAGTTGTACAGGCCAATGTGAAGGAGCTGTCTCCACCTCCCATAGTTCTTTTTCCCGTGTCTTGTCTGCCCTGTATGTTCCTTTTCCTATACCTCCCTAGGCAGCCTGGGGAAAGTGGTTGGCTCAGGGTTTGACAGAAGGATGACAAATAAGTACTGTATTAATAAGAAAAGAAAAAAGTTGTACAGGCCAATAAAACGGATCAATTATACTTGTTTAACTGCTAAAGAGAAATGTACCACTTCAGCACAACAAATGGACAAAGTACTGAATTGGTAAATCAGTGGAGCTAGGTTTTGCTTTAGGTTCTGCCATACCTGTATGGCCTTAGGCAAATTATTTAACCTCTACAGGTCCAGCTCTGGTCTGCAGGCTCTCCTCCTCTGTGGTGTAACAGGATGAACTTGCCATTAGGTGAGCAGCCCCTAGATGGTGCTGTTGTTCTGAGATAGGCTTTGTATTTTTCCCCCCTCTATAATTACAGTGAAGTAAAAAGGCATAGGTTAGAAAATGATTTCCTATTCTGGAAAAATTCAGTGTTAAGAGCTCATTCAATGGCATTCAAAATGACAATGAATTATAAGTCATATGCATGGCCCATATGCATCTGACATTAATTAAAAGGAATAAATCATTAATGAATATACCAAATATCTCTGTATACTATGCCCATATAGCCATCAGTATTTCTTTAGGTATATTTACCTAAGCCTAAGATACTAAATAAAAATGAAGTAATTATTGTTAAGAATATTGATGTATAAAAACCCTATATAAAAATATTTTTAAAAATACTAGTTCTAATAATAAATTTTGATGAATGCACTGATACTTGGAATGTTTCAGATTGTATTCAAAACCTGTGATTTCCATGAACACAATGAAAGATTATATTACCCCTCCAGCTATGTAAGCAAGGGCATCTTTTAATGAAATCTGTCTTCTGGTGTTTAAACAGGTAATCAAAGGATAATAATAATATGTTAAATGTTCTCTAGTTTTAATAAAAATTTTTAAAAAAGGAGTAGGCTTAGATGAACAATATCAAGTTTTCACTTAAAATTCCCAAAAGGAAAAATAATACATTCCTATTTTTCCTTATGACATTCACAAACTATAAAATTATGCTCAATCAATATACAGAACAAGAAAGTATCTATGAAAACCTGTACCAAGCTACATTTTGTCTTGTCACTTGAGTGAATAATAAATGACAAGCAAAAACTGTAGCATGACAAAGTGAAATGACATATAAACTGCAAATTTTTGTTTCAATAAAGATTTTTGTCAACAAATTAAGGAGGAAAGATATTACATCTCAGTGTATCCAAGATGGTATTGCTATATAAGTTACCCATCCATCTAAACAATCAACCTTTATTGATATTATATTGAGCAAAGGGCTGGAGTCATAAAGAGAAGATACCATTTCCATTCTCAAAAAAAAAAAAAAATCTAGTTTGAGAAAAGTACTTTGAAAAGTTCAGTTTATTATAATGTCAAGTAGATTTACAACTATTGCACTTATCATTCTGCTGACTGCCAAAATTTAAGAGGATATTTTTCTCCAATAAAGCTAAGTTTCCATGATTTTTTAATGTAAGATGTTAAGATTACACAGGCAAATATGTGTACCTCATGTCCTTTTCCAGACACACACCCTACTTATTACACAGCTTGCTGCAAATGGGAATTTAATTGGGATAATGCTTTAAGTCCCATTTCTCTTGAAATTACTTCAGTAAAATTTGACACGAGTTTTCTTTATATCGTCTTCTTTACCCAAAACAAGTAGAAGAAACAGCCCCCATATCAATTATAACCACATAACTGGCAGATGACCTTTAATCAAAGACGAAGTAAATAACTCTTCCCTTAGAGAACACCATCTCGTGTTTGACCATTAGCTGCCTAACTTTTTGGACAATGGGAAACAATAATAAAAGCTAAAAAGTGGCCCTGTATATGAAATTCTTCTTAAAAATCGAAGAGAGTCATGAACATTGTTGGGAAAATGTTTCACATTTCCAATGAAATTCTATTCCATTGATCTGTTTGGAAGATTGTCTTGAACCTGTTTGGCTTTAGCCCATAAACCAGTGATGGCGAACCTTTTGAGCTCGGTATGTCAGCATTTTGAAAAACCCTAACTTAACTCTGGTGCCGTGTCACATATAGAAATTTTTTTTAAAAATATATTTTATTGATTTTTTACAGAGAGGAAGGGAGAGAGATAGAGAGTCAGAAACATCGATGAGAGAAACATCGATCAGCTGCCTCCTGCACATCTCCTACTGGGGATATGCCCGCAACCCAGGTACATGCCTTTGACCGGAATCGAATCTGGGACCCTTCAGTCCACAAGCCGACGCTCTATCCACTGAGCCAAACCGGTTTCGGCACATATAGAATTTTTTTGATATTTGCAACCATAGTAAAACAAAGTCGTATATTTTTTATATTTATTTTATATATTTAAATGCCATTTAACAAAGAAAAATCAACCAAAAAAATGAGTTTGCGTGTCACCTCTGACACGCGTGTCATAGGTTCGCCATCACTGCCATAAACTGTAATTGATTCAGTGGCATGAAGAACTGCTTTTATCTTAAGCCTGGCATGCGTAACAGTGGATATAGCAGGAAAGTGTGTTTTTTTTTAATTTTTAATTTTTTATTTATTCTATAATTGTGAACGGATGAGCTGGGGAAAAAACAACAAAAAGTATCAGCCTTCAGTCTTCTTAAATTATTTTTCATTTGATTATATTGGGAAGAAATGAGCTGTGGGGCTTGGCATTGTTTTCCATCTTAACAGTTACTCTGTATTTGGGATAATGTGATTCATAATGTATCACTATAACAAGACACAGCTTTTATATATTACTGGGGTAACACAAAGAAAATGAATTTTTCTTTGGGTACCAGTAATTGTCAAAAGAATGATTGCAGATTCAGAAAATGTGCTTTATAACAACCCTGTATAAAGTTATAAATGGAGGAAAGAAGTAAGTACAGCAAGTATGTGGAAGAGTTAGTCATATTAGCAAGGCATCTCAGGATGGTTTTGGTTCTTTTGACTAAGATGCTTCAAATTTTAATCCCCTTCAAATTCTTGGACAAAGGGGAAATACTTATTAACACCAGAAGCATTTGGTGAGCATGAGCTGATTCTCCACGTTCTTACACAGGCTCCAACTAGTTAATAAACTACCCCCTCCTGAAACAAGGATTTGCCCTGATAATAAGGGAAATGTGCTCAAGCTGTTAGAATTAATTTGAATATCACAAATAAAATTTAGATTACCAACCATGTCTTGATGGTTACAGCATGTAGAATACTGAATGTCCTCTTTTTAAACTAAAAGAAAAAAAAGTGAAGAAGCACGTTTAATTGACTTTTGCTGATGAAAATAGATGTTAAAGCACAGCTTTTGTGCGTAGGCCTCCTTGTGCTGCCATGTCACCAGGCACTTTCCCTGGGGGAAGTGTTTAATTGTCTTGCTCATACAGCTGATGTTTTCCTTGGTAGAATACTTGCTCATGGGTTTTCATGTGTACGTTTCTACTGTGATGAAATCCAGACATTTTCTACTTTCAGAAAATTCTAGTGTACCATTACAGCATAGATATTTCTTTCAGTTTAAAAAATAGTGCAAAAAAACCGTATCTGATAGTCAAAGTAATAGTTCTTGTGCCAAGGGACACAGTCAAGCTTCACCTTTAGCCGACTTGTAAAACCTGAACATAGTTTTTGGGAAATATTCCAGATTTCCCCATTAGTTCTCCACTCATCCAGTCATCGTCTACAGATTCCAGCTCTGTTATTGTATCTCCAGCCTGTAAGAAGACAGGAATTGGAAATAATTTTTAGTTTCTGTTGAGTACAAGCATGCTAGGCAGTATCTGGAGAGGCTTGTATTCTCTGACTTGCCGACAGGATTAGATGATATACCACAAAGATAATCTATACCTAATGGATGCCATTCCTTTGCCATTGTCACCCTTGTTGCCCTTTTATTTTCCTGCTGTATTTTGTGCCCCCTAAATTCACTCCTAATTTAAATTCTTCTTTAATAAATAACAATACCAGCTATTATATATATGTATTTGTGTGTGTGTGTGTGTATATATATATATATATATATATACACATATATATATATATATATATATATATAATTTACTAACAATATATATATATATGTGTGTGTGTGTATACACACACACACACCCCTCATGCCCCATCTAACATTTATTGAGCACCCACTATGTTTCAGACACTGTTATTCTGGGCATTATGGATACATCAATGAATAAAGAAGCCATTCTAGAGTGGGGAGACAAATAAGCTGGCAGAGAAAGAAAGTGTGGGGTTGGTTGCTATCTCATTAGAGCAGTCAGGGGAGGCCCCACTGAAGGTGACATTTAAGCCAAGACTTGGAGATAAGTGAGCCATGTGCTTACTGTATGTCTTGTCCTATTTTATGTACTTTATAGGAATTAATTCATATACACAACAGAGCAGTCCTAGAGAGATATTTGTATAGATTTCCTTATTTTAAAGGAAAGGAAATTTAAGCTCAGATTAAATAATTTGCTCAGTGTCCCATGTCCAGTTAGTTAGTGGTAGAGACATGACTCAAATCTAGTGTGATTTCAGGGCCCTTATTGCTAACCATCAAGCAAAACATGGCCACCACATTTTACAGCGGACCTCTTCACTTAGAAAGGCTTTTACTGTAATTGTCTTTTTTTCCACATCCTGAGCATTTTGTACTGTACATTTACTCTTCCACATAATGGTATTCTCTGCCATTTGGTTTATTCCATCCTCCCTGGCCTCAATAGCAAATTTGCATTCTTTCCTGTCTTAAAGAGCTTCACTGACCCAGAACACTGATTTATTCTCATCAGGACAGTCAAAGGGACTGTGTATCTTATTCATGTGTAAATTATAATTCCTCAGCAGATGACATCATTTTTGAAATTATCTCCTGGAACTATTTTGTTCTTTATTGTTTCTAACCATCTCTTAGAATCTGGGTTTAAGATTCTATAATGGTCCAAAATGATCCTGGCTACTTGAAAGATTATCAGGCTAAATGGATTTATTTGTAGCCCTAGTACATAGCCCTCTGGAAAAATGGTTTGATTTAAGGCCTTTCTTTATGGAAAATGGAAAGGAAAAATTCTGACTATCAAATGTCATTAATTTACTCTGCTAAAATCTGTTATACTTCCAGCTACTCAAAGTTTCTATTATAAAAAGTTCCTTCTGGTTCCTAAATTATAACATAATGGCTGATTAAAACTATTTTCCTTAGCTCTGTTCCATATATACATAGTATGTCAATTTTTCTGAGGGCTAGCACACTTTTAATATATTTTTTTTATTGATTTTTTACAGAGAGGAAGGGAGAGAGATAGAAAGTTAGAAACATCGATGAGAGAGAAACATCGATCAGCTGCCTCCTGCACATCTCCCACTGGGGATGTGCCCGCAACCCAAGTGCATGCCCCTGACCGGAATCGAACCTGGGACCTTTCAGTCCGCAGGCCGACGCTCTATCCACTGAGCCAAACCGATTTCGGCAGGGCTAGCACACTTTTAAAAAAGCTTTATCTACAAATATTTTGTGGATATTTATTAAAATATTAATGATCAATATTGAAGGCAGTGCAGAATCCCTTAACTCAAACCTCTAGAACTATCTTGCTTAGAGTCAGTCATTTGTAAAACAATGACCACCTATTTCTTTCTTTTTTTTTGTTTTTTTTTTTTTGTTAATCCTCATCCAATGATATTTTTCTATTAATTTTTAGAGAGAGTGGAAGGGAGGGAAGAAAGAGAGAGAGAGAGAGAGAAACATTGATGTGAAAGAGACACATGGATTGGGTGCCTCCCACAGGCGCCCTGACCAGGGCTGGGGAAGACCTTGCAACCCAGGTATGTGCCCTTGACTGGAATCGAACCCATGGCTCTTTGGTATGTGGGCTTACACTCTAACCATTGGGAAATACTGGCCAGAGTGACCACCTATTTGCTGAAAGATACTGTGAATTGTTATTGATATGCCTAACTTAAATGAATGCCAAAATAACATCCAAAAATTTTGAATCTATATTGTTCACTTTAAGTAACAATCCATGTACAGATAAAAGAAATGAATTTTGAGCTACTGGGGCAACAACTTAGCTTCCAAACATTTGGATTATAAGAACCAAGAACCTTTAGGAATAAATAAAAAAAACAAATAGATAAATGGATATAGGGTTACCAAATTATAATTTTGCATCAGAAATATCTATCATTTACTAACAGTATTTTATCATAGAAATGACATTTTAATATGAAAAAGATAAAAGAAATTCTCAGAAGGAACACCTCACTACAAAATAGGAAAGTTAACATCCTTATAACTGACATATCTCAGCATACCCCTTTTACCGACTCCCCAAAGGTCTGCACATACCCAATATCACCTAGTTTTACTCATTTTGTTATAGACAGGTGAAAATGTTGTTTGGGCACCCATTGTTTTAAAACTCATCTTGTCCAATCACTCCTTGATGCTTTCATTCTTTCTGTGGCATCTTAGCTCTCTGAATACCTCCAATGATGGAGAATTTGCTGCCGTCTGATACAGGCTCTTCTGAGAGCAATGACTACTAACCTTACCCTTCTTCCTCTGGCACAGTCCCAAAGTATTACAAAGGTGGCTTTCCTCTGACTATGGTCCAACTATGGACTGGGGAAACAGGATCATGAAAACATTCTGTTTTTACTTAAAAAAGAGGCACTTTTTAAAAAATTGTTTTATTGCTTAAAGTATTACAAAGAGTATTATATATGTCTCCTTTTTTTTCTCCCCTTGACCCTCCCCTAGCTTCCATGGCCCCCAGTGTCTTGTGTCCATTGGTTATGCTCGTATGCATGCATACAAGTCCTTCGGTTGATCTCTTACCCCACCCCCCCAACCCTCCCCAGCCTTCCCGCTGTAGTTTGACAGTCTGTTCGATGTTGCTCTGCCTTGGTATCTATTTTTGCTCATCAGTTTATAATGGTTTTAATTATCCATAAATGAGTGAGATCATGGGGTATTTTTCTTTCACTGACTGGCTTATTTCACTTAGCATAATGCTCTCCAGTTTCATCCATGCTGTTGCAAATGGTAAGAATTCCTTCTTTTTTTTACAGCAGCATAGTATTCCATTGTGTAGATGTACCACAGTTTTCTAATCCATTCATCTGCTGATGGGCACTTGGGCTGTTCCCAGATCTTAGCTATGGTGAATTGTGCTGCTATTAACATAGGGGTGTATATATCCTTTCTGATTGGTGTTTCTGATTTCTTGGGATATATTCCTAGAAGTGGGATCACTGGGTCAAATGGGAGTTCCATTTTTAACTTTTTGAGGAAACTCCATACTGTCTTCCATAGTGGCTGCACAGGTCTGCATTCCCACCAGCAGTGAACGAGTGTTCCTTTTTCTCCACATTCTCTCCAGCACTTGTCGTTGATTAGTTGAGGATAGCCATTCTGACAGGTGTGAGATGGTACCTCATTGATGTTTTGATTTGATTTGCATTTCTCAGATGATTAGTGACTTTGAGCATGTTTTCATATGTCTCTTGGCTTTCTGAATGTCCTCTTTTGAACAGTGTCTATTTAGGTCCTTTGCCCATTTTTTGATTGGATTGTTTATCTTCCTTTTGTTAAGTTGTATGAGTTCCCTATAAATGTTGGAGATTAAACCCTTATCGGAGATAACATTGGCAAATATGTTTTCCCATGCAGTGGGCTTTCTTGTTGTTTTGTTGATGGTTTCTTTTGCTCTGCAGAAGCTTTTTATTTTGATGTATTCCTATTTGTTTATTTTCTCTTTAGTTTCCAATGCCCTAGGAGATGTATCGGTGAAGAAACTGCTTCAGCATATGTCTGAGATTTTGTTGCCTTTGGATTCCTCTAGTATTTTTATGGTTTCCTGACTTACATTTAAGTCCTTTATCCATTTTGATTTATTTTTGTGTATGGTGTAAGTTGGTGATCTAGTTTCATTTTTTTGCATGTATATGTCCAATTTTCCCAACACCATTTATTGAAGAGACTGTCTTGACTCCATTGTATGTTCTTGCCTCCTTTGTCAAATATTAATTGAGCATATTGGTTTGGGTCGATTTCTGGGCTCTCTATTCTACTCCATTGATCTATATGTCTGTTCTTGTGCCAGTACCAGGCAGTTTTGAGAACTGTGGCTTTGTAATACAGCTTGATATCTGGTATTGAGATCCCACCTACTTTGTTCTTCTTTCTCAGGATTGCTACAGCTATTCGGGGTCTTTTTTTATTCCAGATGAAGTTTTGGAGAGTTCACTCTAGGTCTGTGAAATATGCTGTTGGTATTTTAATGGGAAGTGCGTTGAATTTATAGATTGCTTTGGGTAATATGGACATTTTAATGATGTTGATTCTACCAATCCATGAACATGGTATGTTCTTCCATCTGTTTATGTCTTCCTCTATCTCTTTTTTCAACATCCTGTAGTTTTCTGAGTAGAGTTCTTTTACCTCTTTAGTTAAGTTTATTCCTAGGTAGCTTAATTTTTTTGGTGCAATGGTAAATGGGATTGCTTTTTTGGTCTCTCTTTCTGAAAGTTCACTATTGGTGTATAGAAATGCAATAGATTTCTTGGCATTAATTTTGTATCCTGCTACATTGCCAAATTCATTTATTAAGTCTAATAGTTTTTTGATGGAGTCTTTAGGGTTTTTTATGTATAATATTATGTCATCTGCGAATAAGGACATTTTTACTTCTTTTCCAGTTTGGATGCCATTTATTTCTTCTTCTTGTCTAATTGCAATGGCTAATACTTCCAGTACTATGTTGAACAGGAGTGGTGAGAGTGGGCATCCTTGTCTTGTTCCTGTTCTTAGGGGAAATGGTTTTAGTTTTTGTCCATTGAGTATAATGTTGGCTGTGGGTTTGTCATATATGGCTTTTATTATGTTGAGGTATGATCCTTCTATTCCCACCTTGCTGAGAGTTTTTCTTAGAAATGGGTGTTGGATTTTGTCAAATGCTTTTTCTGCATCAATTGATATGACTGTGGTATTTTTCTTTCAATTTGTTTATGTGATGTATCACATTTATTGATTTGCGGCTATTGTACCATCCTTGCATCCCTGGGATAAATTTATTCTTGGTTCTTACGTAAGTTATTGATTTTTTCATCCATTTCTTTTTGATTCTTACATAAGTTGTTGATTTTTTCCCTCCATCCAGTTTATGCACTCTAGGACCCTTAATCTGAATTCTTTTTCTGACATGTTGCATGCCTCTGTTTCACTTAGCTACTTTTCTGGTGCATCCTCCTCTTCTTTCCTTTGGGAGTTTCTTTGTCTACCCATGTTTGATCTCACTGATAGATCTAGATGTTGAGTCGTTTAGGGGCTGCTCCTTTGGTGGCTGTGGCTCCTTGGGCTGCGGTTGCTCCTCGGGCAGTTGTGGTAGCAGTTGCTCCTCAGTTGGCAGCAGCTCCTCTGGTGGGTGCTGTTCACAGCCGTGGTGGCTCCTCTGGCTGGTGGGGGGAGGCTTCTCACACAGCTGCTGTTTCTCAGACAGAGGGTGTGCTGACCACGAGGCTGCTGTTTCTTGGATGGGGGAAAGCTACACACGCAGCTGCTACTCCTTGAACTGGGGCGGACTGCTCACGTGGCTGCTGTTCCTTGAATGGGGGCTGGCTGCACGCTGCTGTTGTTCCTCTGATGTGGTGGGCTGCTTGTGCAGCTACTGCTCCTTGGATTTGGACAGGTTGATTGCAAGTCTGCTGCTCCTTGGATAGGGGTGGGCTGCTTGCACGGCTGCTGCTCTTTGGACGGGGGTGAGCTGCACGCGTCGCTGCTCCTCCTCTCCAGGTGTCAGGTTATGTGGCTTGCTCTCTAGCACTTTAGCCAGACAGGATAAAATTCACCTTAACAAGACATGATTCAAGGGGAACAAAGCATGAATGTACCCATGACACCGATAACCCCTATATAAGTGACCACCTGAGAAAAGAGAATTAGGGGAGAGAAAAGAGAGTACAAATGATATCTAAGAGAGAGAGAAAAAAAAGAAGAAAAAAACGATAGGAGAGAAAAGAAAAAGGAGAATATATATATATATATATATATATATATATATATATATATATATGTAGAGAGAGAGAGAGAGAGAGAGAGAGAGAGAGAGAGAACACCACAGAACCAATAGATAAACCAAACAAATACAAACACCAAACACCCAGTAAAGTGGGTGGGGGCAGAATCTGTAGAGGCTGAGCTGATATCAAGAGGCACTTCTTTGATGAAGTAAGATTAAATTGTAATTTTCTAAAAGAAACCCCAAAACGACCCTTGGAAAAGTAGCTTAACTTTTTGGGATCATTTCCTGGCCAGTGTCTTCCTGGACAAGACTCACTCAGTGTCTTATGAGGCCCTGGTGCAGTGGCCAATTGCAGCAGGTACCTGACTTCTCCATTGATTTGATAGACATGACAATAGCAGGCAACAATGGCCATATAGAGAATCATCCTTTATTAGGTCTACCAATGAAAACTCCAATATTACTAACATCGAATGTTACAAGGCCTACAAATAAGGAATTCGTTTGGGGATTGTGGGGTTATCAAGCCAATTCAGTTTTATTTGAGTACCTAAATGCTTTGCTGATATTTGCCTAATCTTTTTCTTTGGATATAGGACATCAGATATGTTCATACTTGGCAAATAGTCAATATACCACCCAGATGTTCCACCCTTCAATGGGAGATATTTCAAAATTTATAATTGCTTAATACAGGAACTAAAAATGTACATTCTGACCTTGAAGGAAAGCTCATCTTCATTGTCCCCATGGAAATCATACAAGGCTTTGGCCTTCCTCCCCTTCAGTGCTAAAGGAGACATACTTTTCATGTCAGCTGTGGAAACACCAAAATACAGAACATACTAAAACACAAATCCAACATTTTAAGAAACCTCCTTGTTATCCCCAGGACAAAATATTTTCAATTTATTCAAAAATAATGTTGAATTTATTTAACTTGCAAAAAGATGAAGGAAGTTCTCTTAGCAGGAAAAAAATTATCTATCTATATAAAAGCCTAAGCTACCATTATAACCGAATGGATGACCGAACAGGCTGTGTGGGGCAACCAGGCCAGCAGGGGGGTTAGTGAGGGGCGACCAAACGACCAAGCAGCAAGCTGCGTGGGGCAACCAGGCAGGCAGGGGGGGCAATTAGGGGCAACCAGGCCGGTGGCGGGGGGGGGAGGTGTAGTTGGGGATGATCAGGCCAGCAGGCAGAGGCAGTTAGGGGTGATTAGGCTGGTGGGGGGGGGCAGTTAGAGGCGATCAGGCAAGCAGGCAGGTGAGCGGTTAGGAGCCAGTGGTCCAGGATTGTGAGAGGGATGTCCGACTGCTGTTTTAGGCCCGATCCCCAGGATCAGGCCTAAACCAGCAGTCGGACATCCCCCAAGGGGTCCTGGATTGGAGAGGATGCAGGCTGGGCTGAGGGGACCCTCCCCCACCACCTGTGCATGAAATTCTGTGCACCAGGCCTCTAGTAGAAATATATTATAGAAATATATTTGTATGTTTCTAAAAAAATTATAGAAAATTGGCCATTATCAAATGAAGGCATTTTTATCTTTTTCCCCCCTATAACTCAAACAAAGTATCAAGTATGAAGAAGAGCTTACAAAACTTTATGAATCAACTGTTTAAAATGAAGGCAAACAACTTAAACTGATCATGGCCAGAGGGAAAAGAAATATATATTGCTTTAAAGGTCTTGGGCTCCCCTTAGAGTGAAGAACCACTTCCCGGAGTTGTTGTACCTGGGCAGGGCCGCACAAAGACTGCTGGGAAGATCCCCTCCCTGTCTCGCAGTCTGCCCTTGTACCAGTCAGAGTCCAGCCGCTGTAGGATCAGGATCCGTTCTCCCCTCCTGAAGGGTAAGTCATCACTGGTCTCCGCTGTAAAACTGTGAAGAGCTTCACACCATTCTCCAGAAAGACTGTTATCCTGTTACAAAACAGAGGTTTGATAAGACATTTAAGATTTTATTTGAAACTAGAGGCCCGGTGCACGGATTCGTGCATCGGGGAGGGGGCATCCCTCAGCCTGGCCTGCGTCCTCTCGCAATCTGGGACTCCTTGGGGGATGTCTGACTGCCAGTTTATGCCTGATCCCTCAAGGGATGTAGCAGTGTGCCAAGAGGCAGGCAGCCAGGGAGGAGCCCGAGCCGGTGCCATGCAGCTCGCGCTCATCCTGGCCGGTTGTGCCTACTGTCGCTGCTCAGTAGTACTGCCGCAGAGTCAGGAGACGTTCCGCCACCGCAGCTGCGCTTGCCAGCTGTGAGCCTGGCTTCTGGCTGAGTGGTGCTCACCCTGTGGGAGTGCGCTGACCACCAGGGGGCAGCTTCTGCATTAAGCGTCTGTCCTCTGTTGGTCAGTGCACATCATAGCGACTGGTCAATTGGTCATTCTGGTTGTTCCAGTCATTCGGTCTTAACGGTCACTTAGGCGTTTATACATCTAGATTTATTTCTGCAGAGCTTAAAAAATGGTGGGGAAAAAGCTAAGGGGTCATAAGATTTCAAAGCCTGAAGCTTTCTTTAAATCACCCAACAATTTATGTTGCTATCAAGTTTCAGAAATAAAAATTTCCAAAAAGATTTTATCTTTGAAATATAATTCTATATGACAGATGTGATAGAATTTGTGGCTTTCCTGCTTTTAAAGGGTATATAATACTTAAGAAAAAACTTTTTTCTAATTATGATCTATGATATTAGTTCTATCTTAAAAATTAGGTAAAAGCATACAGTATTCATATATAGTATTTATTACACTATGAAAGAATTCTGGAAAACAATTTCCAGTGAAACTCTTTAAATTATGAAGGCTCATGCCAAAACCGGTTTGGCTCGGTGGATAGAGTGTCAGCCTGCGGACTGAAAGGTCCCAGGTTCGATTCCGGTCAAGGGCATATACCTTGGTTGCAGGCACATCCCCAGTAGGAGGTGTGCAGGAGGCAGCTGGTTGATCTTTCTCTCTCATCGATGTTTCTAACTCTCTATCCCTCTCCCTTCCTCTCTGTAAAAAATCAATAAAAATATATTTTAAAAAATTAAATCTTTAAAAAAAAAATTATGAAGGCTCATAATGGGCAGTCTGTTAGTTCCTAGGTCTTTACTTGATTCAGAAGCTATCAGATTCCATGGCACAAGACTTCATTAATTCACTATTAATTTTATAAGGCGTAGTTAGCACTAAAGCTGGCAGAATAACCACCCAAATATGGTGGGACAGTATGGTGGAATGTACCAGCAAGAATGCTTTCATTTCTACCAAGTTAGGATGGGAGCCCTATGTTCAAGAAACAATCAACTGAGCTACCCCTACCCATCCAGGGCTAGTATGTAAAAATTTTACTCGTTTTTTCTCTCTCCCATTAAAAAAATAATACAAATGCTCCTAAATATTAGGTAAGTTCAGAAATGTATGAAGAAGCAGGGGAAAAAACCTACCCACCCATAATCTTACCTCTTAGGGAAATATGAATATTAATAAATATATTTCCTTGTAGTCTTTGTATGCTATATATTCAATTCCCTATAACATTTTCTTCCCATTATGTTTATTTTATAAAACTAGTTTTTCATGGCCTCAGAACATTCTACCATTAATGATCATATTTAGGTTGGTTCCAATTTTTTTTCCCTATGATAATAAAACCACTATGACTATCTTTGTGACTAAAACCTTCTCTTTTTTACCCTATTTGGAGGGTAAAAATATAAAAATAATCATTTTTACTTTCTTGTTTTTTAAAAAATATATTTTTATTGATTTCGGAGAGGGAGAGAGAGATAGAAACATCAATGATGAGAATCATTGACCAGCTTACTCTTGCATGCCCCCCACTGGGGATACAGCCTGCAAGCTGGGGCACGTGCCCTGACTAGGAATTGAACTGGTGACCTCCTGGTTCATAGGTCGATGCTCAACCACTGAGCCACACCAGCTGGGCTGTACTTTGTTTTTAATACTCAAATAATTACTTGTTTATTGTTGAGTTGTATTGAATCTTTGTTAACTAGATAAGTTAAATGGTATTTCATCATTGCTTTATAAGGCATTTTGATTATTAGTAGGGTTAAATATTTTTTAATATCAGCCACTTATACTATCTCTTTATCTCTTCTATTCTCCAATCATGTCTTTTCCCCCGTTTTCTATCAGGGTTTACATTTCTTTCTAATCCATTTGTATGAGCTCTATATGCAATAAAGATGTTAACCATTTGCCCACAGAGGTGGGCAAAAGTGGGTTTCCAGCTGTAATACAAATAATATAATAACCCTATTAATAAAAGCCTATGTGGTCGTCATGCCCTCATGCTGTGACGCCCTCATGCCGTAGTGAGCGGTCACCAGGAGACTGAGTGCGTAGTGGGCACATATGGGCGGGCAGGGCTGTGTGCGCATGTGGTTGGGCGGGGGCTTGACGCTGTGTGTGCGGTGTGGAAGGGGGTCCTGTGGCTCCGTGTGGCAAGGCCTGGGGGTCCTGTGGGTCTGCGCGGTGCAGAGGCGGGTCCCGCGGCTCTGGCCTACCTCTTTGGGGCAATCCATCAAGGAGCCCTGGATGGGTGAGCAGGGCCTACCTCTTTGGGGCGATCGATCGCGGGGCTCCTGCACTGTGAGAGGGCAAAGGCCAGGCTGGGGGAGCTCCCCCCAACCCCCACTGAGTGCACAAATTTCGTGCACCGGGCCTCTAGTTAATACATAATGATACAAGAATAAAATCTGTGTTTTGTGTACTCACAATATAAATCTACTTTTGCTCATCCCTGTATTTATTTCAAATATTTACTATATGAATTGAAAAATGCTTTTATAACATTCTCTCCTGATAATTACAATTTTAATATCCTTCCCAGAGTTGAAACCTGGCTTTCATTATAGTTATCTATCCAAGCAGCCTACCTGAGAATTTGCTCCAGAATCTTCTTTTTTGGTCTTCAGTGGTACCTTTGTGCCTATGTTAAAAAAAAGTCAAAACTTCAGATGTAAAGACCATATAGTATTGGAGAAAAACCTTAGGGGAGAGTGAAAAGTCTGGGGTTGCAGACCAGTCTCTTCATAATTCTGACCAGGCACTGTCCTCTCTGGGCTTTTTCCCTTTTTTGTACAGTGAAGGAAGATACCATTAGTTATACTCTCTATCCCATTTCTGTTTAAAGGTCTATGATTATCCATATGCCATTTCTGATATGAGGCTATTGCTATTTACCTAAAATACCAACACCAGCTCTCTGAGAGATTACTTCAATAAGAGCTATCCCACACAAATGACCATTTTTAAATAATTTCTCCTTCTATCTTAAAAAATATGGCAATATGGATTATTATGCAGCTCAAGCACTATCCTATTATTTAGTTTATTTCAATTAAGACAGAATATGATAAAAAACGATACTCTCTGTACTCACTGAAAACATTTGTACCAGAGGTGGGTTGATCCTCAACAAGTTCCACAAGGTTAAGGGGGGAAGTCCTAGTTCTGCCTCGAGGTTCTCCTCCAGCCCATTCTTCATTCACATACTCATTAGGAACAATACTTTCTCCCTCCAAGAAACTTAGCACATCCTTCTGGTCTCCAATATATTCAAACTGAGTGCCACATCTTGGACCTCTGAACAAAGATTACATTTGTGGGTTAAACTAGAGAGTACTACTTTTTCAAAATGCTTTAAAACCTTTCATTCAGTCTTTCAATAAATATTGTGTTTACTATGGAACATGGTATACTAGACACAATTTAAACTTTTCCATGATAAAACTTTTTCAGATATGAACGTGTTCACCTAGAAAGGCTAGTCAATGTCACAGAGACACGCAGAATTCCATAAGCTGGTGGTCAGTTTGCACTGCCATGTCTCATGAGCAGTCTCTACATCTTTGTATTCCTGGACCACAGTAATCCATGGCTCAGTCTGAACTCTCTCAGTTATAAATGCACTGAGTTTAGGAGTGCTAACCCTAAGAATCTCAGGGCAAGACATCAAACTTCCATGACAGAATGCAACGGGCATCAGCTGGGCAGACTCAATGCACAATCAATGTTGACTCAATCATGAGTTGTATACATAGATGAATGATCTTCAAAATTAGAAGGTTCGAATAAAACAGAAACTCAGCATATTATCTTATAATACTTAATCTTTTACCTAACTCTGTTGTTTTAAAAATGATTTTTGTATCTCCTTTAAAAAAGGCTTAATTTCTGATAATTAGAACAATCCTTAAATGGTCAGCAATTCTGACTGAAAATAAGAGATAAAACTGTGTTACTGGAAGGCATGATTTAATACCAAACCTTCCATTTGAGGTGTTAGAAAGGAAGTTTCAATAGCAACAGGCTAAGGAGATGCGAATGCCTGAAAAGAAAAGGTTGGTACAGTCTCCAATCAGGTTCTGATTTAAGTCAGGTCAATGGACTGAGGGGCTGAGAGAGCCCACTTCAGATCCAACCTGCTGACACATTAAACACGGCTTAAAAATAGGAGGAAAAACTGAACCTGAAATAGAATTCCACTATTGTGGCATCAGTTTTCTTATTTGTGGTAACCTTTGCATTTATTTTCTAAAGCCCTCAGGGAGCATCTACATATGTCTGACCTATTCAAAGACAGGTTTACAGTCTTCAGCAAGTAGTGAAGTCTATTATTTTGCTCATTTAACTGGAACATAAAGTTGCACTGTGGCAGTGTTTTAAATCATACAAAAAAGTTACAATGATGCATAGAAAGGTCATTAATTCTTCAGACATAAAGGAAGACCCCTCCAACTTAACTCTTCCTTTAGTTTCTTCTAGTTCCTCTTAAAAACAAAACAATACAAAATGTCTAGCTGTTTTTGTAGGGTTCATATTTCTATAAGGTTAAATATTTTCTATGACAATAATTTTGAACCTTCTAAAAATGTGTTAGTAGATAAATACCAGCTGGCCCAATAGATTACACTGGATGACAAAGTGTCTCTGTTTAAGCCATGGCGAGGCGGTGGGAAATAGCAAGGTGGACTCCTTGTGCTGTCTACATGTCCTGTATTGATATGAGGAGTTGCTTAGGTCAGCTTGTACCAGCACGTTGAATTTTCATTAGCATTTTAATCCACTATGGCTTTTAAACAAGTACACTTTTCCTCATGAATCAAAAGACACACTGGGAATAAATAATCACACATCTGAAGTGTATAAGCTTGGTAATTATGATATAACAACAGGCCTGGTTCATGGGATTCGTGCACTGGAGGAGGTGTAACCTGTGGGGACGGGCTCACTGTGGGAGTGCTGCTCATCCTGGTCAGCTGAGCAGCTGTGGACCTGCCCTATGAGCGACTCAGCCCAGTCAGCCGAGTGGTGCTCCCACTGTGGGAGCGCACTGACCACCAGCGGGCAGCTCCTGCGTTGAGCATCTGCCGCCTGGTGATCAATGCGCGTCATAGCAACCAGTCGTTCCAGCGTTCAGTTGATTTTCATATTAGGCTTTTATTATATAGGATTGGTCACCTCCTTTGCATTTTGTGCAAAAGAACACAAATAAAACTTACTTATTAACACAATGAGATGAAACTGATTCTCTTTTCCCATTTCCTCCTTCTGGAACATCAATCTAGTAAAGACAAATCAAGGCAACCATTGTATTTTTTTCAGATTTTAATAAGATGAATTTAAGGCTAGGTAATTAGAAAATACATGATTGAAATTAACAAGTTTAGACAGGTGTTTAACTGGTTAAGTGGTACCATACGTGCCAAAGTTAAGAAATCCAGAATTTGGTTTTAAAAACACACACACACATAACTTGTGAGGCAGCCTTCCTTGAATAGCCAACCAATCCATTTCTTATTTCCTGGAATAAGCATATTAATATCATTCCACCCCTGACTGAATTTTCTCTATCCCATATCCCCTAAGTTGGAAACTTCAGATGAGGAGGACTTAAATTAGAGACTAGGCATCAGGCATTTGGCACCACTGCCATGCCTATTCAAAGTGTTGGTAAAATTCTGCAATACTTTCCGGACCCCAAAATAAAACCTTTTAATCAAACTTGTGGATACTCTCCATTTTCATAACTCTGGAATATTTTTTTCCACCAATGTGAATAGAAAAGGAATTAGTACTCAGTGGGCATCTACTAAGTGGCAAGCACGTTATATAATACCGCACTTACAAAGCTCAATGAAGCTAGGTTGTAATAAAAATTTTTGACCAAAGTATATTCAGTCTTTGAGATCTATATTAAATAAGTCAGTGCCCTTCTTAATGAATTCTAAAAGCTCAAAATTTCAAAATAATTTTTTCAACTTGCAGGCTTAGAAATAATACTTATACCAATAATGTGGCAGATTCAGTGTAACTTATTTGAGTGACGTAACTGTGCTGTAAAAAATACTGTTACATTGGGTAGGAGAAAAATGAGGAAGGGTGCTAAAGCTAACATTGTTCTTAATATTAATTTAGTGAATGTGGATAGATTTTTCCAACGTATCAGGGCATATTTACATTGGAAAATTTTTAAAGCCCACATTTTGTAATCCAAGAGACTCAAACTCATTTATATTAGAAAAACACAGGTTTAGTGCTTTAGTATTCCCAAGTCTATTTTTCTAAATGATGGAAATAAATGGAATGAAAGAATGAAAGAACCAAAAACAAAATGTACTTGAAAGAAAAGGAAAAGTGGTACCGTAAGCTCAGAGAACATTCCTTCAGAATAATCTTGTACCTTTTGAGTCTTGTTTATTAAATTTTTCAAATAATTAACATATATTCTTAAGTGCTTAACAATCCTCCAAGAATAGCTGATCACCAGTTGACCTATAGTGTTTTTTCACCTTAGGATTTCAGATAGCATTTAGAAATTAAGTTCTAGACCCCTATAATATATTAACAATTAAGCATTATCTAGTTGAAAAAACTTTTATTTTCTGAATTTTCCAAACACCAAATGAATTAATGGAAGAGAGAGAAGTAGAACCCAAGAATCAAAGCTTCCGATTACTTTTCCCAAAATGCACGTTACACAGAACCCACTGAACATATGACCAATTAAAACAATCATGACCCACTTACAATTACTTTGACATGGTTGGCAGGAAATACCCCAGTCTGGTTTCTACATTTCCCTCTGTACCAATCTGTATCTATTTTTTCCAGAAGATAAACAATTTCTCCAGAAGTGAGATTCAAATCACCAACTTGCTCTATAAAATAAAATTATAATTATGTATGATAAATTATTCTGGTTGCATGCAGATCTGATTAAAGCAGAGCACAAAGTATTTATTTCTGTCCACCGAGGCAGTATGTTCTACTGACTCTGAGAACAGATTATACTAATTGAATAGACTTAAAAATATCTTTTTTTTAATATTGCTGTTATGAGCTTCCTCTTTTAAGATCAAATTAAATACATTTATTATGCATTGACTGATGAGAAATGGTTAAAAAAAACCAAAAAAACAAAAAACCCCAAACACTGTGCTGGCCAATGATTCCTACTGTGTCAATACAAACCTTTTGCTGAATACATATTGAACTATGAAAGGGTTTTATAGATGTAAAATATTCTTATTCTCATTCATGCTTAAAAATCATTGCAATCTCAAAATATTAACTAAGCAGTGGTTCTCAACCTTCTGGCCCTTTAATTACAGTTCCTCATGTTGTGACCCAACCATAAAATTATTTTCGTTGCTACTTCATAACTGTAATGTTGCTACTGTTATGAATTGTAATGTAAATATCTGATATGCAGGATGCTCTTAGGCAACCCCTGTGAAAGGGTCGCTCGACCGCCAAAGGGGTTGCGACCCACAGGTTGAGAACAGCTAAACTAAGGGAATACTACTCTTTAGAAAGTAAATTTACTCACATTAAAATAAAAATCTATCAAGTAAATAATATATAAACTTATAAATAAATCAGGAGTTTATCTGTAGTTTTGGATATAAAAGATATTTAAAAGTTGATTTAAAAATTATATTTTCATCTCATTAGTAATAGCTGAGCTATATGTGTACGTTTTACAATCCTTAGGAGAAAAGAATTTTATTTATTAAATTTGAAATAATTTCACTATAATTATTAATTGGAACCCACTATTTTGAAAGAGGTAAAAAGTTTGCAACTGGTAGGTATTTTGCTGTTTGTGCATGTGTAGGGAAACACCCTCTTTTTCTCTCCTTCATGGGGAGTTTCAAAAGCAAGGGTATCCAGCTAAGCTTTCTGGAATGGTTGGGTACAATTGACCATTCCTGAAGGTGGGTGATTGACAAGATGACCTCTCCAGTCTAGGATTCTGTTGTGCAGAGAATGAAGAAGGCTGGCCTCAGAGATTAACCTAAGGAGGATGCCTGCTCCTGGATTCTAAGGGCTCTACCACTTTATTATTTATGTCCTTACCTGCTGGAAAATCATGAAGAACGACAGCATGAGGAGCACTACTGTCAACAGGCTTCTGAGTGTGGCTTGGATCCTTTGGGGGAAAACAGGGCTGTGAGTGAAGTATTCAGGATGGATGCTGGATTTACATTCACTCTGAGACCAATTTTTCCTCCCTCACTAGCATCCTCTTGACATATGAGTACAAGATGCAAAACATAGTTGAGCCAAATGAGAGAATCAATATCAAGTTGCAAAGGCATGTGTCCTTGCCCAGGGAGAACAGCAAATAACTCTCAATTATAATATCCTCCAGCATTTTTTAACAATGAGAGTAAAACAAAATGGAATTACTGAACTTTAAAAATTTTTTTCACTAGGACCTATTCTACCCTGAAGTAGTGTTTTGTTTGTTTGTTTGTTTGTTTGTTTAATCTCTTTTCCTATCTGGAGTAGCTTTTTCCTAAAACTGTGAACAGGACTAAATCTTAAGAACAGAGCCTTAAAAGTTGTATCTTCATTAAGATGGGAAACGAAGAAAGTTCTGCAGTTGATATGCTTGCCCTTTAATGAAAAGAGCTAATGACTTTCACAAAAGTATAATTCACAAAAGTAAAATCTACGTCATTTAGTGCCACTTAACTGAATGCTTTCTCTAATTTAAAAGCTAACACTACCTCCAGTGCTTGGCCTAGATTTTCTATTTAATCTGAATGGTTTATTCAATACAATTCTAAGTAAGTTAACAAAGAGAATTCAATATTCTCTAACCATATGGCCAACTGCCATAGATTGGCTAGAGGAGAGGAGAAAGCTGAAGAGTGACCTTTTCTTATTAATAAGCAGTTGTTATTCTTAGTTTCTTTATATAAACTGACAGGCTAATAATCCCTTCATCATCATCAAATCTGATTAAAGGATATTATTTGGAGTTACAATTTTAAAACTCTTCAATACTGGCAAACCTGCGAAATAAATGTAGGCACATTTTTTGTGTCTTTTTTGTCTCTTCAACCCAACTCTTGTCCCCTCAGGGGTATCCCCACGCTTCTATTCCTCTGCCCCTCCCTGGCCATGATGTACCCAGTTGATCAGACTGCACTGTGGATAATGGTCCACCTTCTCCATTTCCCTGCAGCACCTCTGCTCAGATCTTTTCTACATCTCACCTGCTCTTTCAACCAAAATGCAACTGTGGAGGCATGCTGCATTCTCTCAAGGTAGGTAAACTGAAATACCAATTTAGGTCAAGACAGTAACGGCTAATGGCAGTTTATTATATGAGTTTACAAAGTAACACTGACATTTTCTTAGGGGCCACTCAGCACTTTCCCCTAAACAAATGAGCATCATGGGAATTTCAGGGATTGCAGAAAGAAACTGTGACATATTTTAAGTCTGGAGGGGCTTTTAAAAAAATAATTATTTATGCCCTGGCCAGTGTGGCTCAGTTGGTTGGGCATCCTGTGCACTGGAAGGTTGTTGGTATGATTCCTGGTCAGGACATATGCCCAGGTTTTGGGCTCAATCACCTGTGGGGAAGTGCAGGAGGCAGTCAATCCATGTTTTGCTCTCGCATCAGTGTTTTTCTCTCTCCCTTTCCCTTCCTCTTATTCTAAAAATCAATTTAAAAATCTTAAAAAATAAAAGTAATTATCTACATAACTTATTATGTGTTCATATGTAAGTTTTTCATTACCCACCCCCCTGATTTATGTCTGTGGAAAAAAGGAATGACTACTCAATAAATTGTATTAGGCTAACATCCGGTCAAAATGGCGTAGGTCTATGCGGTACTCGCATCCTCCCACAACCACATCAAAATTACAACTAAACTATGGAACAACCAACTTCAGAACCACCTGAAACCTATAGAAATCCTATAACTAATAATACAAAGAAGCCACTTAATATGAATTTGGTAGGAGGGGTCTAGATGTGGAAGGGGCTGAACCTACACCCACATGTAGCAGATAAGAATTGGGAGGATATTGCCACTACAGAGGTCTTCCCTGGGTAGTGGGGTCCCAGCCCCACACCAGGCCCCTGAGCCCAGGGTTCCAGTGCCAAGGCACACATTAGAATCAACCAATGAGTCCTGGCCTGGTGGCTCAGTTGGTTGAGTGTCATCTGTGCTTTGGAAAGTTGTACGTTCGATTCCTTGTCAGGGCATATATCTAGGTTATGGGTTTGATCCCTGGTCAGGGCTTGTATGGGAGGCAACCAATTGATGTTTCTCTCTCATATCCATGTTTCTCTCTCTCTCTCTAAAAATCAATAAAAACATATCCTCAGGTGAGGATTAAAAAAAAAAGAATCACCAATAAATGCATAAATAAGTGGAACAACAAATTGATGTGTCTCTCTCTTCCTTCCTCTCTGAAAAAAAAAAAAAAGAAAACATTTAGAAAAAAAAGTACAAATTGATAGTTACACAATAGTCATGGGGATGTAACGTATAGGGTAGGGAATATAGTAAAAAATATTCTAATAACTGTGTATGGTGTCAGATGGTTACGAGATTATTAGTCATAATGATCACTAAGTTAAATAATGTCTAATTATTGGGTTGAAAGTAATATAATATTGTATGTCAACTCTAACTGAAAAATAAACAATTATATAAAGTAAAAAATAAGTAAATAAATTGTGTTAGGCTAGATGGCTATCCATTTGGAAAATAAATGATATCAGAGGCCTACCCCACACAAAACACAAACATGAATCTCTAAATGAACCAACAACCTAAACATAACCAGGCCTGGGAGAATAAAAGAGGAGAGATCTTAACTTGTGCCTCCCAATTAACTTCCCTCTCTGACTTCAGTGCATAGGTAACACTAGGAATGCTGCTCATCAACCTGGTCTGGAAGGTGAAGGGCAAGATGAAAAGGCTAAATAAGGTTGGCCACTAGAGGTCAGTACAACTCAGACCACACCATTAGGTAAATCTAATATAATTTAAAGCTCTTTTTAATATGACTCTGCTAATGCAAATGCGTAATAAAAGCCTTCATTGTTCCCTCACTGTGCTACTCACTGAGTTAAACACCTTATATGCGTTAATTAGCTCATTTAATTTTTAAAAACATTTTTGAGATATAATTCACATATAAAATTCACCCATTTAAAGTGTACATAGTTTTACTATATTCACAGAATTGTGCAACCAACACCAGAACTGAAGTTTAAAACTTTTTAAATCATCCCCCCACCCCAAAGAAACCTACCCATTAGCAGCCACTCCCATTTACCACCACTCCCCCCCGCCCCCCCCCCCCCCCCCCCAACTCCCAGCCCTAGGCAAAGCACTAATCTACTTTCTGGATTTACCTATGCTGGACTTTTATATAAATAGAACATATATGAATTCTAAAAACAACTCTGTGAGGAATTATCATACCTATTTCACACATTTAAAAAATGCAGCTTAGAGATAACTACCTAAGGTGGTGGGAGGGGAACTGAAACCCATCTCCCTGACACTCAAATCTGTGTTTGCAACAAGATAAACAATCTCCTACTTTTCCCATGATCTGCAGAGTCAACCTCATCTAACAGCATTAGATATTTTCTGTTTACTAAGATAGGGGAAAGTATAGCACATTTTCAGAGATCTTTACCTTAGAACTAGGCTTTCAAATAGGTAAGATTTATTTTCTAAAAAATGTAATGCTAGCCATGAACCCAGAAACCTGAATGAGGTTTCAGTTGAGCATCACTGTATGTAGTTGGCCATCAGAGGCCAACTCTGCAAGCCTACGGTACACGATGAGTGAGGCCATGTTTAATGTGGAAAAAAATTTGGACTATTAAAAAAGAATTCTCATCTTTTTAGCCCCTTCCTTCCTTCCTTCCTTCCTTCCTTCCTTCCTTCCTTCCTTCCTTCCTTCCTTCCTTCCTTCCTTCCTCCCTCCCTCCCTCCCTCCCTCCCTCCCTCCTTACCTTCCTTTAAAAAAACTTAAATCTTTATTGTTCAAAGCATTATATATGTAGCTTCTATTTTTCTTAAAGAAAAGCTTTTTGGCAGCCCAACTCCCATGGTTACCCCCCAGTGTGTTTGAGAGAGGAAGGAAGGCTGCGACAGAGGGATAATGCTGGATCAAAACAAAGAGAAAATGAGTGATAGAAGAACTTTCTGTACGTGAATTAAACTTAGAATTTTCAGTATCCCAGCTACAACTAGCTTAACATGTGTCTTCTCTGCTCTCTAATATACAAATTTTTAGTTTCTCAGCAAACTTCAAAACATAAACTGCCTTCTAAGAAGAAAGAATTGGACTAGATTATGAAAACTAGGATGAATGGGAAACCAAATACTTTACTTAGATTAAATGATTGGTGGATATTATTTTTCATGTTTGCTACATTAAATAACAGTCAAAAATTTAACTGGTTAACTTAAAAAGCTCTTTTAAAAAATATACCTCTAAACATAGTTCATTGGCATTTTTCTTGCTAAACAAATGAACTTCGATGATCACTGTATTCTCCCAGGATCCACAAATTTGTTAGGCTTAAATTGTAACTTCAGGTTGTTGGATTACATTTCATTTCATTACTTTATGAGCTATAATCAGAGAAATGAGGTTTACACTAAGCTTAAATCTTACAAGGGAAGTGCTTTTTTATGGCAGACTAAGCATTTATAGGGGCCCCTTTAAAATAATTATCCATTCTGCTGGGAAACTAATCTCTGGCACTTCAGTAAACATCTTTACATTATTTAAAAATAAATGGCTCTCACAGTTGAAAATTAATGACTGAGTGCTCTGGTTGCTGTAAGTCAGCACGATATGAAGAAGGCAAAACACATGGTAGTCACTGTGTACCAAGGTGATTAGTAAGGCAGTGGCAAGTCTCTTAGAAGTAATTTATTCTTCAAATGGAATAAAATGCTACTGTAATTTTCACTCTGGTTAAGAAAATGCTAAAACCTGAGGATGAGATATAATTAATTGTTCTTTGAAATGTGCTGCCATGGGTGATACGAGGGCTGTACAATATTAATTCCTTTACGTTTGGTCTGCTCCTAAGATGTTCATCAAGTGGGGTGATAATCTTCATCTGAGGCAGGTGAACTCTACCAGTGACTTTTCCCTTTTGGCATTCCCAGTAATTATTTCCTGCCTCCTTCAGCAGCACAAGTCCATCCCCACGCTGTAAGGTACAATACCACTCTCTGAAGCAATTATTATTTAATAAAACATTATTACTTTTCCCACATTTTAATCTTTGGAGCCTAAAGCATTTAATAACGTGTAAAGCAGTAATAACAGAGGCTGGTGATTTTTTTACATTTGTCACTAAAAAAAGAGCTCTATTTTACCTTACAAGAGAGTTCTCCGGGGTTTGCAAGACAATGTATTCATTGGCAATCCCATGAGGCACAGACAACTTAAATATAACCCAATAAAAGGATTATTCACAATCAAAAAACCCTCATCATAACTTGCTGGTCATTTGGGGATTTGGAAGGTGTAAAGTACAACTTCTCCAGGAAAATCTTCACCTGACTTCCTCATGCTCCAGGTCTAGTGGGGCCTGACATTTCTCATGGAGACCGAGTCCTTGGGAGTGTGGAGTTGAGCCTATAGCTAAATGTGGCCTAAAGTTCTCTTTTTACAACTAGAACCAGGAAGTTCTATTCTATAGGACAAGGTCCACCAAGTCACCTGGTGCTTGAAGGATAAATACTCAGCACCTGAGCTCACAGCCTATAAAGACCTACCTTTGAGTAAGGGTTTTCAATGGCTGTTGTCTTCTGAAGGCTGATGGGGGCGGGCAGCTCCTCTACAGGCTAATGACTCCTTCATTTGCCTTGAATCTCATCTTACAAAGCTTCTCTGCCACAAAGCGTCTACTTAAACCCAGTTCATTGCCTGACTAGTCACTTCCTGGTTCACTCAGCTCTGTCTTATTTTAGAATGGTTTTTATATCTGTACCCAGCCCTGGCCGGGGGACTCTGTTCCCTGCCATGGTCAGTTTTGGCTGGTGAGTACAGGTCAGAGGCCTTTACAATATAAAGGCATTCCCAGGGAATGTGATCACACAAGCTCACTTTCAACAAGCAAAGAGGCTGCTTGGGCCCCTCCATCACTCAGGAGCAAAGATGCAGAGTGCGAGGGGTTAGGTACTGATGCTTCCTAGCATTTCTGTCAGAGTCCCAGGGCTCCCAATGTACCCAGGTTCCTGGTTAGCAACTTAATGGCAAGGTAGCCTTGGAAAAAATGAGGAATTTAAGAAATTATTTCATAATGAGACATACTCCTCTAATATACCATATTTTAAATTTATTAATTTGATTCTTTGACTGCTTTATTGATATTACATGGCTATGCTAAGAACCATAAGTACTATTTCCATAGCATGGCATAATGGTTAAGAGCATAGGCTCAGAGTCAGTTGATCTGTGTTCAAAAGCTGGCTCCACCATTAACTAGCTTTGCTCCCTATTTTTTTAAATATATATTTTTTAGCCCTAGCTGGTTTGGCTCAGTGGATAGAGTATTGGCCTGCAGAGTGAAGGGTTTGATTCCAGTTAAGGGCACATGCCCAGGTTGCAGGCTCGATCCACAGTGGGGGCTGTACAGGAGGCTTCCAGTCAATGATTTTCTCTCAGCATTGATGTTTTTCTCTCTCCCTCTCCCTTCCTCTCTGAAATCAATAAAAAAAACCCTATATATATAAAAGCCTAAGTGACTGCCTGACCGTACAACCGCCCAACCGGTAGCTATGATGCACAATGACCACCAGGGGGCAGACGCTCAATGCAGCAGCTGCCGAGCTGTGGTGACTTGGCAGCTACGGTTCTCCGGTGATGCAGCTGGAATCAGAGAGGAGGGAGCTCGATTCTGGGGTGCATCACCTGAGAACCATCCTCTCGCAATCCGGGACCCCTCAGGGGATGTTGGAGAGCCGGTTTTGGCCCAATCCCCACATGCCAGGCAGAGGGACCCCACTGGTGCACAAATCTGTGCACCGGATCTCTAGTAATAAATAAAATGAAATATATTTTTTATTGTTGATAGTATTACAGATATCTCCCATTTCCACCCCTTTACCCCTACAGTTACTTGATGGCTCTGTGTACTATTTTTTTCATCTGTATAATCGAGATAATAGTAGTATCTACCTCACAGGGTTGGTGTGATGAATAAATGAGTTATTTAACATACATAATGTGCTTTGAACAATACCTGGTCCATAATAAGTGCACAATACATCAGGCATTATTTTTAAATAACCAAACCCAAATAATACTTCTGGGTTTTAGCAATTAAAAATGTCATCAAATTAAATGAATATGAATATATATATGAATACACTCGTCTTTCTTATCTATCCAAGGAAAATTTTATAAAACCCTATATGGCTTAAAGTGAAAGTAATTTCTGGCTCAATGATGGAAATGTAGCACAATATAAAATTATTAGCTGCTGTTCTTGATAAAAGCTACTGTCATGCAATTGTTTAAAAAGTACAAACAGGCCCTGGCCGGATAGCTGAGTGGGTTGAGGGTTGTCCCGATAAGCCAAGGCTTGATCTCTCTGGTCAGGGCACATACAAGAAACAACCAATGGATGCATAAATGAGTGGAACAACAAGTCAATGTATGTTTTTTCTCTCTCTTTAAAAATCAATCAGTAAAAAAAAAGTACAAACAGTCCTGATCTCCCTATTTTTTAAAACAAGTTTTCATTGATTTCAGAGAGAGAGGAAAGGAGAGGGAAGTATCAATCAGCTGCCTCCTGTACAACCCCTACTGGGAAGGTGACTTTTTGGTGCATGGGAGGACTCACAACCAACTGAGCCACACTGGCCAGGGCTCCCTATTTTTTTAAATATATATTTTTTTATTGTTGATAGTTATTACAGATACCTCCCAATTCTCCCCCCTTTACCCCCACAGCTCCCTATTTTTATTTGTCTTAGATTTTATGAGGTTAACCAAACCAAAGTGGTAAGAGCACATCAACTCTGTTTTTAAGTATGGAAAATGCAGCCAAAGGTTTAAGGTCATATGATGAGCAAAATATTCATAAAAGAACCAAATTAATACCTCAGCTATTCCAATTATTAATGAAAGCTTCTAATTGGCAACATGATAATTATGTTTACAAAAGGGGAATAACCATTCACCTTAATAAGACCTTTCTTTCTATTTTATTTTAAATTTTTACTCTGTGGGCAAGGGATATAAACTATAAAATCTGTCAGATTTTATAAAAACCCATTAGTGTAACTTACTGGTCAGGTTTCTTAGAGTTGCTGTTTGTTCAATTCCTGTCTGCACTGCCTCCTATTCCTCTATTTCTCCTAATAAAACCCTGCTTTAAAGACCTAGGTTTTATTATGGACTACTTATCTAAAGAACTCTTAAGGTCAAGGATCAAGTCTACATCTGTCTTATCATCTTCCTCTAAGGCAGTGGTTCTCAACCTTCCTAATGCCGCGATCCTTTAATACAGTTCCTCATGTTGTGGTGACCCCCAACCATAAAATTATTTTCGTTGCTACTTCATAACTGTAATTTTGCTACTTATGAATCGTAATGCAAATATCTGATATGCAGGATGTATTTTCATTGTTACAGATTGAACATAATTAAAGCATAGTGATTCATCACAAAAACAATATGTACTTATATATGTGTTTTCCGATGGTCTTAGGCGACCCCTGTGGAAGGGTTGTTCGACTCCGAAAGGGGTCGCGACCCACAGGTTGAGAATCGCTGCTATAAGGAATAATGGATCTTATATATTACTTTAGGACAAACCTCTTGACCACTAACATTTTTAAAAGCTAAATTTACCATGTATTTCCTGTAGAGAGGGTGTCCTGGTTTAGGGCGAGGGGGTAGCACCGGATCTTCACTTTTAAAAAATTGACTCTTGGTTTTTGTGAGTCTGGAAGCCATATTATTTTGTTTTTTCTGAAGATCCATGTCAGAAGAAGACCGATTAAAAGGCAGTTTTTTATTTGATGTTCTGGTTGCAGAAACTCTCGGGGGAGGTGGTCTTTCAGGGGCCCCCTTGGGAGGAGGCTGTCGAGCTGGTGTGACTTTTCCATTTATAGGTCTGAAAGGCAAGGTGGGATCTGTGAATCAGTGTTTGATCAACATTAGGTTCTGTTTGCTCTCTCTCTCTCTCTCTCTCTCTCTCTCTCTCTCTCTCTCTCTCTCACACACACACACACACACACACACACACACACGTGCGCGCGCACACGTGTGCACAGCTTTCTGCTAGTACAATTACCTAAACACGCAGGTTATGCTATTTCTGAGCAAATGGCTGCTGCATTAAACATTATATTATTAGAGGAAATGTCGATGTTCCAGCTTCCTCTCATCCTGCACTAGAGATTCATTAGTTCAAGACAAACAAGCATTTACTATCATGAGCTCTCTAATGCCCCATTTGCTTGTAAACACACCATGACTGTTTCAGGAAACTAAGCACATTCTACCAAAGTCTGAGATGAAAAGCTTACAATAAGATGTCAGGTATATGTGATGTGATCTAGTTCATGATTAGAAAAGGAACATCAAACTACCCTAATATTCATGTTATAGGAATTACTATTCTAACTCTGGGTTAGATTAATATAAAGAAAGCTGTTTTGAAAATGAGCTAGGACAACCATTACTTTGAAAACCTTTCCTTAATCCCAATGATAAAAATAATTTGTAACATAGGAATAGCTTCTGATAGTATCACAGCTTTTTGTTCCAATAGCCCTGGAACTCAGGCAGGCTGATCACCACGGTTCCTCATAACGGAGAGTGGGTGACAGTGTGAAAGTGAAAGTGTGAGTGTATAGGTGTGTGAGTGTGTGTTCATTCCAGAAGTGGAGTTGTTCCAGGTCCAGAAAGGAGTCTTGTTTGTTGGAGGAAAAGTAATAGAGATCTGTTTGTGTTCTGTGAGTTTTGGGGATTGAGTTCAAAGAAGCAGCAGAGATTCCTACAACCTGCTGTTAGAGCAGACTGTAGGCTAGTGGCCTGGGTGAATTCATGAGTTTAAAATGTATCTCTAAAAGAATATCTAAGGCCAACAGCACTCAGTTTTGATGACAGAAAGGGGAGTCCAGTCTCTGAGGCATTAGCTGCTCTCTTACTTTTTAAAACCTTTCCCACACTGACCTTGGTGGAAGCCTGGGGGGTCCTCGCACAGAGCCTCCCATTTGGCCAGCCTGGTCGGATTCCTGCAAGTATCAGAGAATGATTTTTAGTTAAGGTTCATCTGAAAGAAGACCTTGTCAAGAGGAGTTGTGGACAACTTTTTGGCTGGATCTATAAGTGGAAATGTAGCTGAGTTAGAGAAAATAAAATAAGTTAGAGAGAAAGTAGAGAAAGATTTTAGTCTTGAGCAATATTAACTCATCCCATGTTCCCACCTAAATTGTCTACATCCTAATACAAGTGAAGACATAGAGGAGGAGACCGGCGATCTGCTATTGTAGATCATGACCCAACCAATTTCCCTGCACCGCTGAACACCCAGCAGATTCAAAGGTATCAAGGATGATGCTTCAATCATGATGGGTTACACAGTAGCAATTTAAGCAGGAACTGTAGAAAACTAAAAACAAAGGCCTTTATTTATTTCATGATGACATGTAAGATATGTACTGCTCCTAAATTTAACACATAATAAGTGAAGTGGTGATTAGTTTGTTTTGCCTGTTTTGCCTGTTTTAGAACAGGCAGATCTCTCATCACTGGATGCAGTGGGTTCTGAACTAGGAGGCGACAGAACAATGTGAGAAGTTTAAGGGACGGCCTGAAAGGAAGGCATGTGAGGAGAAACAGAAAAGGCCCAAGAAAACAGAAAGCTGGGACCACTAGAGCAAAGGGGTGGGGTGTGCTGAGAAGAGATTTAAAAAAAAAATTTAATCCTCACCCAAGGATACGTTTAGAGAGAGGAGGGAGAGAGAGGGGGTGGAGAGAGGGAGAGGGGGAGAGGGAGAGAGAGAGAGAGATAGAGAGAGAGACAGACATATGTCCCCCAACTGGGGATCAAACCCACAACCTTTTGGTATACAGGATGACTCTCCACCATGCCAGTTCTGAGAAGAGTTTTGTAGGAAAGAGTATAGGGGGTCATGTGAAAAACAAAAGACAGCTTGGAATGTTTTAGCTTAATAGCACATGAGAGAAATTGGAAGTGTGGAGATCTATAGAAAGATTTTTCTAGGGAAAGGGCTTCAAACTGGGTCATTTAAGTAACTTTCATGGAGATGGTGTAGCCCAAGGATTGGGAAATGAATATAATACATGGAAAATATTTTCATATCTTCTGTTGAATGAGAAATTAAAACTTTTTTTCGAGGGAAAAGTCCTCACCAAATTATTCTAATTCTAATTGAATCTCCTTTTTTAACCTTTTCTACTTTCTAAGCACTGACTTCCAGGAAATAATATTTCTCCAGGACCTCAAAAGGAGAAAAATGCCAGCCCTTTAAAATTACACTGCCCTTATTTATTTATTTTAATATATTTTATTGATTTTTCACAGAGAGGAAGGGAGAGAGATAGAAAGTTAGAAACATCGATGAGAGAGAAACATCGATCAGCTGCCTCCTGCACATCTCCCACTGGGGATGTGCCCGCAACCCAGGTACATGCCCTTGACCGGAATTGAACCTGGGACCTTTCAGTCTGCAGGCCGACGCTCTATCCACTGAGCCAAACCGGTTTCGGTGCCCTTTTTTTTTTTTAAAGGAGGTTTAACTATACCTTGGGAGATCTTTGAACTAAGACTGTTTCACTCCTTCTCTTATATAAATGAGTTAAAACTCACTTCAATGGATTTTAATTCAGACTGAATATTTATAACTTTTTCTTAAGTACCAAATGATTAATTGCCAATAACTGTGATAACTGAAATGTGTTTCAATGTTTTAAAACCCCATTTTTAAAAACAAATTAAGCTTGCCCTTAAAACTTGGTTTCACTAATGAGTTCAGTTAATGTAGTGAAGAGAGTCACCAGCTCATAAACCCTGCAATATTCCGGACTATAATCCATGCCTTATAAATACGCTGCTGCTGATATTTCCCCCTGACAAATACTGCTATGATACTCAAAAAACTCAATTATTTCTTTGGCCACTTTAAAAATTAAAACAAGAAAGCAGAAAAACATTCTAGCAGATAGGCAGGAACTTTTGTTGTTTCTTCTCAACATTATAGTTTTTAGACAACTTAATAATTAAAAGCAACTTTTAAAAAATACAGATGTATAAATTTGACATAGAAAGTTATAGATGTACTGTAATAAATACATACCATATAATCCTAATCTAGTACCAAATACTAGATGTAGTTTTCTCCAGATGGTGGCATTTTATAAAAATCTTAAATATCTTTTTCTCAATTTTCTACAATGAGCAAACTCTAAATCAGAAAAAAGGCAGTATCCTCAAATCCCCGATGAACATTAGGCACCTTTTGAAAGGCACTGCTGTATCTGACACACTGAGTATAGGGAAACTGTTCTTGCAGAAGCCACTGCCTTAGTATTTGCTTAAATTCAGGTTTATGCAGAGGTTCTGCCAACAGTCTTTGGGAGATTACTGATTAGTGCTTTCCTCCTCTTCAATAATATTCCACACCTAACTGGAGTTGCTCTGACCTCTTTGAATGAACATACAATGGAGTCAAGACAGCCTCTTCAATAAATGGTGTTGGGAAAATTGGACATATACATGCAAAAAAAATGAAACTAGGCCACCAACTTACACCATACACATAAATAAACTCAAAATGGATAAAGGACTTAAACATAAGACGGGAAACCATAAAAATCCTAGAGGAATCCACAGGCAGCAAAATCTCAGACATATGCCGAAGCAATTTCTTCACTGATACATCTCCTAGGGCATTGGGAACTAAAGAGAAAATAAACAGATGGGACTACATCAAAATAAAAAGTTTTTGCACAGCAAAGGAAACCATCAACAAAACAACAAGAAAGTCCACTGCATGGGAGAACATATTTGCAAATGTTATCACCAATGAGGATTTACTCTCCAACATTTACAGGAACTCATACAACTTAACAAAAGGAAGATAAACAACCCAATCAAAAAATGGGCAATGAACCCAAATAGATACTTTTCGAAAGAAGACAGAAGAAAGGCCAAAAGACATATGAAAACATGCTCAAAGTCACTAGTCATCCGAGAGATGCAAATCAAAATGACAATAAGGTACCATCTCACACCTGTCAGAATGGCTATCATCAACAAATCAACAAATGACAAGTGCTGGTGAGGATGTGGAGAAAAAGGAACCCTCATGCACTGTTGGTGGGAATGCAGACTGGTGCAACCACTGGAGAACAATATGGAGTTTCCTCGAAAAACTAAAAATGGAACTCCCATTTGACCCAGTGATCCCACTTCTAGGAATATATCCCAAGAAACTAGAAACACCAATTAGAAAGGATATATGCAACCCTATGTTCATAACAGCACAATTTATAATAGCTAAGATTTGGAAACAGCCTAAGTGCCCATCTGCAGATGAGTGGATTAAAAAACTGTGGTATATCTACACAATGGAGTACTATGCTGCGGTAAAAAAGGAGTTCTTACCATTTGCAACAGCATGGATGCAACTGGAGAGCATTATGCTAAGTGAAATAAGCCAGTAAGAGAAAGATAAATATCACACGATCTCACTCATTTATGGAATATAATGAGTAACATTCTGGCTTTTTATGTAATGTGTGTGGATAGGCATTTTAGTTCCTGGAGAAGTTGGTTTTTCTGCTGTACTGACCCTATAGATGCCATCTTTTTTGTTCGCAGATGCTTCTTCTCTTCTTTCTCCAGGAACTGGTACCCTCTTTGTCCTGAATTCATGAGCCACATTCTGTGCTGTACCTGTGACACCCTCCTGCCCTAGCTGGCAGCCTCCTTGGGGAAGGCTTTGGGAGTCTTGGGTTCCCATGGTGGGCAACACGGCACACAGAACATCTGCCTCTGCTGGCAGAATGGCTCCAGTGGCTCCTGATGCTCCTCACCATGGAGCCCTTCATTGTTTAAGTGAAGAAAGTGAGATTTGGCAACGATAGCCATTGTCCTGAGATGGAAAGTTCCTCAGCACGGAAGGCATGAGAAACAGGATAGGGTTTTATGCTGTGCCACATAAGAAGACAAAGTGGCAAAGACCAAGCCTGTCCTCATGGGTCGTTACGCTGGAGAAAGTTTTCCCACCGATCCTCACCCACACCTGAAGTCTTTATGGCCTCTGGTCCAAAATCATTCAGTAACTATAACTCTCAAACGAAAGGAATTTCTCATAGATTTGACTTTCTGGCTATCTATTTGTGTGATTTCAGCCAAATTATTTAACTTGTGGTCTGTTTCTCATCTCTTCTTCCTTCAGACCCAGTGTGTCTATTATGAGATGTATTTATTACAGTTTAGCACAGAATGCTTTGACCCCCCACCCCTACCTTATAAATAGTGCAGACAGGATTTTCCTCATGTTGGTCATGTGAGGTACAAAAAAAATGTGAATATAGTACTTCTCCAGATGGCTTAGTTTATTCTAACTTCCTTTTCTTGTTTTTCTAAAATGCAGGAGTTGCTTTGTGGACTGCTTAACACCAAATGTAATACCGCGTGCTTTAATAGAGCGTTATGGCTTACAAAGCCCATGACTTAAATGAACGATATGTACGCCTACTCATTATTCTCTCACTCTCTTGTATAATCCTTTAGAGCAGATGCTGTAGCCTTCTCAGATACTTTCTCCTCTGTGGAAATTTTGGACTTTCCTATTCAACAATAGTATGGTAGGGGCCCTATCATCCTCTTTGGGAATTTTTGGGCCCAGTATTAATAAAAATTTATTAAAATGTAAGTGATCACTTTGAAAATACAGGTGATCACTAAATTTCAATTCAGCCTACAGAAAAATCTCCTTAACTTGATCTTGGCTAATTCAATTTAATGTCTTCTTCCAAGATATTTCTCTTCAACTAGATGATTAGATAGTTTGGCATGTAAAATAAGCATAGTTAATACACAATGCAAAACTATTATGAAATTTGAACTGAAAATTTGTTTCACAGACTTTAAAAATTGGTTCCTTTTGAAACAAACCTTAAAGATTATCTATCATATGGGAATTTCAAAAAGTATAGGGAAATTGTATTAAGGTTGAAGGGAAAAAAAGTATGTATAAAACTCTTGGCCCACAATTTGTTAAGAAGCACATGGTAAAGCACTATTTTTTAAAATTTAAAAATAGTTCTCCCCTAAATTTCAGAGTAACACATTTTTATGGTAATTATCTTTTTTTTTAAAATATATTTTATTGATTTTTTACAGAGAGGAAGGGAGAGAGATAGTTAGAAACATCGATGAGAAAGAAACATCGATCAGCTGCCTCCTGCACATCTCCTACTGGGGATATGCCCACAACCCAGGTACATGCTCCTGACCAGAATCGAACCTGGGACCTTTTAGTCCGCAGGCCGGTGCTCTATCCACTGAGCCAAACCGGTTTCGGCTATGGTAATTATCTTAAAATTATGTCACTAATTGATATTTTATTTTATTTTATTATTATTTTTTTGTCTTTTTTTTTTTTTTTTAATATATTTTATTGAGTTTTTACAGAGAGGAAAGGAGAGAGATAGAGAGTTAGAAACATCGATGAGAGAGAAACATCGACCAGCTGCCTCCTGTACACTCCCCACTGGGGATGTGCCCGCAACCAAGGTACATGCCCTTGACCGGAATCGAACCTGGGACCTTTCAGTCCACAGGCTGACGCTCTATCCACTGAGCCAAACCGGTTTCGGCACTAATTGATATTTTAAATAAAAACTGATCATTGAAATAAATCTATTTCCACAAATAGTACAGGTTTTTAGAGATTTTTCATAACTTCCTCATTATTAGGGCCATTTAGAAGAGATGGCTGATCAAAAAATAGACCCAGAGTCATAGAAGCTTGAACATACTGTTGAACCTCAGAGGGAAGGCAGGGGAGGGTGAATGGGAAGAGATCAACCAATGAACTTGTATACATAAAACATAACCCATGGACACAGACAATGGGGTGGTGAGGGTGGGGTGGGGTGGGGGGGAACAGAAACGGGCTTAAAGAGGTTAACGGGAGAAAAAGGAGGAACTATGTAATACTTTCAACCATAAAGATAAAAAAAAAAGATGACTAGAAATGAAAGAAAGGAGGCCATTATATAGGTACTAGAGGCCTGGTGCACAAAATTCGTGTATGGGAGGGGTCCCTCAGCCCGGCCTGCACCATCTCCAATCCAGGACCCCTCTCACAATCTGAGACTGCTGGCTCCTAACAGCTCACCTGCTTACCTGCCTGATCGCCCCTAACCACTCTGCCTGCCTGCCTGATATCCCTAACTGCTTCCCTGTCTGCCTGATCACCCCTAACCACCTCTGCCTGATCACCCCTAACCTCTCTGCCTGCCTGCCTGATCACCTCTAAGCACCTCTGTCTGCCGGCCTGATCACCCCAACTGCTGCCCTGCCAGCTGGATCGCCCCTAACTGCTCCCCTGCCTGCCTGATCACCCCTAACTGCCTCTGCCTGCCAGCCTGATCACCCCTAACTGCCCTCCCCTACCAGCCTGGTCACCCCTAACTGCCCTCCCCTGGTGGCCTGGTTGCCCCTAAGTGCCCTCCCCTGCCAGCCTGATCGCTTGTAACAGCTTCTGCCTTGGCCCCCAACACAGTGGCTTTGTCCAGAAGGATGTCTGGATGGATGTCCGAAAGATGTCTGGTCTAATTAGCATATTACCCTTTTTTTAGTATAGATAACATATATGCCCCTAAAAAGTTATTTTTTTTACATACTTTAAATTAAATTATACAGTACATATTCAACCTCTTTTACCCGTTTTTTTTTTCTTCTAAATATATCGATTTTTTTTTAATGGAAAGGAAGGGAGAGGGATAGAGAGTTAGGAACATCAAAGAGAGAGAAACATTGATCAGCTGCCTCCTGCACACCCCCAACTGGGGATGTGCCTGCAACCAAGGTACATGCCCTTGACTGGAATCGATCCTGGAACCCTTCAGTCTGCAGGCTGATGATCTATCCACTGAGCCAAACCAGTTAGGGCCCCCCCACTTTTTTTTTTTTTTTTTTAGATTATCCACGTTTATAGATATGGCATTAGTTCATTTTTCCATTGATTTTTAGAGAGAGTGCAAGGGAAAGGGATAGAGAGAGAGAAACATCAATGTAAGAAACATCCCTGCTGTTGCTTTCCTTAGGAGCCCTGACCAGGGATCCAACTTGAAACCCAAGTATGTGCCAGGCTGTGCCCTGACCTAGAATCGAACCTGCAACCTTTCCATGCACAGGACCACACTCATGCTCAACCAACCTATCTACTTCAGCCCGGCCATTATACGATTTCTGGAATTTTATTTCAATTAATTCTTGCAGTCTGTGGGTTAGGTAATATTCACATTTTGCTGATGAGAAAAAAAAACAAACCCGCTTCATTTTGAGACATTATTCTTCACTCATTGCCACGTTTTCCTGCCAACCCTAGAAAGGCTCCTGACCGCAGTTTCACTGGGTATCCAGAGTCAGAAGCATTCTCCTCACCACCACCCTTTCCAAAGCCGCCTCTGCACTGGCACTGAGGCTGCTCTGGAGAGCGCGGAGGCTAGGTAATGCAGACAATGACAGGATTTGGACCACTGGAGCCACCGTACCCACCTCTCCTCTCTCAGCCTTTCTCTGCTGTGCTGGAGACAGGCCAAGATTTGCGGTGCTAGCACTTCGGACACAGGAAGTGCTGCAGTTTTTCGCTCTCCAGAGCTGCTGTTGCCGCCTGGAGGTTATAGGGCTGCCCTGGAAGTCCTCAGCATGCCTCCCGTCGGGGCAAACATGATGGTGGACTACACAATGGAACTGCTATTTTTAGATACTTTTAAACACCCCAGCACTGAGGTAAGACTCCACTTCTTGATTCTGACTCTGCTTCTAGACCAGTGATGGCGAACCTATGACACGCGTGTCAGAGGTGACACACGAACTCATTTTTTTGGTTGATTTTTCTTTGTTAAATGGCATTTAAATATATAAAATAAATATTAAAAATATAAGTCTTTGTTTTACTATGGTTACAAATATCAAAAAATTTCTATAAATGACATGGCACCAGAGTTAAGTTAGGGTTTTTCAAAATGCTGACACGCCGAGCTCAAAAGGTTCGCCATCACTGTTCTAGACTGTGGGACATGTACAAAAAATCCTTAGGCATGCCTCGACTTTCGCGATCAGGATCATGGGCCGCAGGCAAAGCGGCTCCTGGGTCCCGGGGGTGCCACCTTGCCTGCGCCCGGCTTTCTGATTGTGATCACCGGCTGGGGGGTGGGCAAAGGCGGCCCCGGTTCTCCAATCCAGGGCCGGGGGGGCAGGGCAAAGGCGGTCCCCAGGGCCACCTTTGCCCTGCCCCCTGGCTCTTGCCTGCTGCCTGGGTCTCTGATCACCGTTCTTCTGTCCTTCCCCTTTTGCCTCCCATCATTGCGCCTACGTATGCAAATTAACTGCCATCTTTCTTGGCAATTAATTTGCATATCGTCTGGATTAGCCAATGGGAAGCATAGTGAAGGTACGGACAATTACCCTGTTTATCTTTTATTAGATAGGATAGGACAAATTATTTTATGATGAAGTACAATGAATTGGCCTAATTCTTTTGTTCTATAGGGGTTTGTAAAATATAAAGTATCACATTAAAATAAGTACATGAGACTTAGAACCTGATTTGTAATAAGATATTTTTTTAATCTGACCAGTAAAATAATTTGCACATATTTAAATTAGCGCATCAGTGGGTCTTCAACCTACAACACTCTATAACGACCACTTACCAAGTCTCTAGTTCTGTCAACATTACTGGGTTTTCCAGATACTGTACTGTAAGTGTTTCCAATAGGCTTTTCAATAGGGAGAGGAGGTGGGCTTTGTGGATCCTCATGTAAACCTGGAAAAATAGCAGTAATTCATCAATAATTTCTGGTCTTTGGGGATTCAAAAGAATGAAATGACTGCAGCTTGGTTCCTTAGGAAAATAGCTACTGTAAAAGATCCACACAAAGATGGATAGCTAGCCATGCAAGTGAGAAAGAACTCCCAGCAAACTTCAGAAAACTGATGGGTTAGTAGACATTAGTTATGAAATATTTTATAGAGAGTAAAAATAATGCTAAATCATTATGACAGCAGCCAACATTTTTGAGAACTTTCTATGTGCCAGGCATTAAGTTAAGGTACTTTATTCACATACATTTCTCCAACGAACATCTATCTATGCACTAGATCTGTGCACCCCACTAGCTAGTAGTTATATGTGGTGATTTAAATGTATTTCTTACTTACTTAAAATTAAATAAAATTAAGATTTCAGTTCCTCAGTTACACTAGCCACATTTTAAGTACCCAATAGCCGCATATGGTTAGTGGCTACCATATTGTACAGCACAGATCTGGAATATTTCCATCTTTGAAGAAAGACCTATTGGACACTAAATAATATTCTACCCGTTTTTCAGATGAAGAAACTGAAACTGAGAAGATAATATATGAGTCACCCAAGGTTTTAATGCTAGTAATTGTCAGAACCAGGGTTTTGAACTCAAAAGACTATGCTCATTGTAATAGGCATGCTGCTTCTTAACAGGTGGGGTAGTCAACCTTACCCCATCCAAATCATTAAATGTGTTTTGGAATCCATTAGCTCCAGATTAATGGGCATAACTGCCCCCTCAATTTAACAAATAATATCCTTACAGCCAAACTACATCCTTACCTCCATCATCGTGGACTCCCAACTTATTTTAAAAAGAAGAAAACAAAGATGACCAGATTTAATTAGTGACAACTAATTAAAATCTGTGTGCAAAAACACATGGAGAGGGGATGATTGCAACACACAAAGGAGGCTAAAACCATCTTTTACGCATGGTGTAGGCATTTAAAGGAGGTGGGAGGTTTTCCCATTCTTTCAAAAGACACTCTGCCTCCATTTCACAGGAAAAACCTGTAGCGAGAGGATGATCTGTCAGGTTCCTATTTTATCCAGAGACAGGAAAACACTCAAAAGGAGGAAAATACCCAGGCCAACTACTAGACAAACAATGATTTAGAGATAAGTGTTCTCAGTGAGAGACAGCGCTGCTCTGGGAATTAAGACACAGGAACATTCCAACTCAGTCACCATCTGGAAGCCTTTCTCTGTGCTGCAGTTACCTTATTCTTAACAAGGAAGTAATGAATTATTTAGGATACTAGAGGCCCGATGCACAAAAATTTGTGTACTCGGGGGTTCCTCAGCCCGGCCTATGCCCTCTTGCAGTGTGGGACCCCTCGGAGGATGTCCACCCCATTGGGGACCCTCACTCCATGGAGGTTTGGCCAGCCTGGGTGAGGGGCTGATGGCTGTTTTCAGGCTGGCCACACCCCCTTTAGGGTGGGGGGGTCCCCACTGGGGTGCCTGACCAGTCTGGTAAGGGGCTGAGGGCCGTTTTCAGGCTGGCCAAGCACCCTGGCGACGTAAGCTCCCAGCCTCTCCTTTATTTATTTATTTATTTATTTTTATTCTGGGATTTATTTACCTTCTATAATTCGTTGCTTTCAGTGGAGCTCAGAGCTGGGCCGCAGCAGGCGGGGAAGCTTGACTTCCTCCATCACTGGAGCAAGCAAGCCTCCTGATCACCCCCCACTTCATGGCAGCTGGCCGCCATCTTGGTTGGGTTAATTTGCATATAGTCGCTCTGATTGGCTGGTGGGCGTGGCTCAAGGCGTAGTGAAAGTATGGTCAATTTGTATGTTTGTCTTTTATTAGTATAGGATGATATTGTTGTGACAAACAATTACAGGTACAAAGTAGTAACAATATGCAAGGAGAGAGGAGACAGCTGACTGGCAGGCAGGGACATAGGAATTATCCGGAGTGGGTATGTGGGGAGATGGAGATTTCCAATTTCAAATAATGTGGTCAGCAGAAGTCTCAAAGAGAATAGTGGCATTTGAGCAAAGACCCGAAGGAATGGTAAAGAGGGGAGCCATGCAGATATCTGGGAAAAGAACATCCTAGTTAGAAGGAACAGGTCCCCAGGGGAAGGAGCTGACAGGTTCAAACAAGAGCCAGGGGTTTTGCACCACAAAGCTGTTCCTTCCTTCACTTATCCATTCCAAGTTCTTCAGACACCAAAAGTCTTACTTTTCTTCCTCCACGGCATATATGCATTGCTTGATAATTGTAATGATAAAATTCTTGGGAAATAACTCTCTGGAAACTGGCAATTCAGTTCTCTCAAATATAGTTTCTGGAGCTTTGTCAGGATAATAAGTAAAGGTGCTTCCTCAATATACCCGTTTCAGGATTTCAGAACTATTATTCCAATTTATAAGGGTGCTGACTGAAGTAATATACTTCCTATATATAATGGGATAATATGCTCTCTATGATAGACATATATAACTTCATTTGCCATCAGTTTTAATTCCTTTCCTACCATATCTTTACCAGAGGCACCAGAGGATATTATAATTATTCTGAGTTTTAGTCTCCCTCTATTCTCTCTACTTAAAGACATTGTTAAAAAGAAATAAAATCCAAATTTACTGTACTAATTGTCTAAAGAATTGTAAAAAAAACAACAACAACAACTTGCTTTTAAATGTCCTAGACTACAAATGATAATAAATGGCTGATCACACATACTTTCAAAGCAGACATTGATAAAAGAGCATGTATTATCCCCAGGCTCTTGGAGAGCAAATAAAGAAGGCATAGAAGTGCTTACATTTTCCTGGTTTGGCTGGAATTCGAATCACAGTGGGCTTTCTGGTGGGTGCTGGTTGAACTGCTGGTTCTTTTGTTGGTTCTGTCTTTGTGGGGACCTGGAAGGGATCTAATGAAAAACACAGTTTATTTTGCATGTTTTAGTTAACATGGACTCAAACAAAAAATCTCATTCATAATTAAAGAGTCATATTTTTCAGGCCCCAGGGAAAACTATTCATGGATAAACAAAATCTCAGTTTGCAGAGACAAAAACAAAGTCGGAGCTCATGAAAGGAAATAACTTGATGCTCTGTAAATAATTCATATGGCTTTTCTTCCTCTCTGATGAGAGGGATCCAGGACAATCTTGAATTATGTAGAAGCTATCTTTCATGGGAGTGCAATCATTTCCTAAGTGTCTGCCTGAAAATGAGGGGCAAGTGAACCGAAGAGCCAATTTTCCCTTAATGTGAAGCCTCCCAGGCCCCCAGGAAGAAAAGACCTCCGCTCCCCACACGCCTGTGCCTGTGGAAAACTTACCCACATGCCTAGCACATGCTGGGTGCTCAGCAGAGTCTTAGATTTTAATACTTTAGTAAAATGACACTTCAGTAAAATGAAAAAAACAAACAAAACGTTTTATCCTGAAAATAAGACATCCCCTTTCAAATATATCATTTCGGGGTAAGGATACATGACCTGGCATTTCTCTATCTTAACTGATTCATTTAAAATAGATAGTATATGCCCTGGCTGGTGTAGCTCAGTGGATGGAGTATCAGCCCAGCACCTGAGTTGTGGGTTCGATTCCTGGTCAAGGGCACGTACTTGTGTTACAGGTTCAATCCCCTGCACCTGATGGTGTGCATGCAGGAGGCATCCAATCTCTCTCTCTCTTTCTCTTTCTCTTTCTCTCTCTCTCTCTCTCTCTCTCTCTCTCTCTCTCTCTCTCTCTCTCTCTCTCTCTCTCTTTCTCCCTGTCCCTCCCTCCTCCTATCTCTAAAAATCAATGGAAAAAATATCCTTGGGTGAAGATTACCAAAGATAAATAAATAGGCAGTATATGCTTAGAAAAAGTATTTTTTTAAAAAACATATCCACTGAACTTTTTTCCTGAAAGGAATATTCTTTTTTTCTTTAATGTCAATGTTCTTTTCAGTAGTTTGGAAAAATGAATAAAATTTTTTGAAGATGAGAAATCTCAAAATAATTAGATTAGCAAATATAAAATAAAATGCTGTATAACTGATACTCTACACTGCACACAGGATCTCACGAGGCCACCTCTGCCTTTATTTAACAAGAGGCAGAATTAGTATAAGCTGTAATTCTGCACCTGCTCTCTGAGTATTTGCCTTAGGGAGACACTCCCTGTAAAACAATGCACCCCAGAGCTCCTGTGATGAACAGGACTCATGTTCTGCCCATTATGAGCTGCAGTCCAAGAAGCACCTTTTGCTGACCAGCTCTTTGCAGGATATGTGAAGAGCTGAGCTCAGAATAAGAAGGCCCTTCAGCTTCCTGACACTTCTCCTTGCCTTCCACCCAGTTCGCAGGCAATCCTACCATCCTATACCCCCCAAGGGTATCACTCACTTGCTCACCTATGTATGTCTGCCATGTGCCAGTAACAGTGCTGGGTGGGGAGATAGAAGAGTAAAGTACAATCCTATTTTAAGTTTATTATCTACCACCTAAGAAGGGCCTCCAAATGGTATGCTAGGTAAAATTATTATTAGATTACTGAGAAAATAAAATTAGATGACCCCTCTGTGAAACCCTATCAGTTCACAAATGAGGCGAGTCTTATCTAAGTTCAAAAAAACCAAGTCAAGATTATCAAAACATCAAACTTTTGAAAAAGGCTCTTGTAACAATATAACTTTCTTTCACTGTAACCTATGTCCCCACAAAATAAATAAAGGTCCTTCTTTTAGGCCTAACCAAATTCTTTAATCCTTACTTTGTTATAGCATTATTTTCTACTTCAAAAGTAATATTTATTGTAAAAATGGGAAACATATGACAGAAAATCTCCTGTGATCCTATTCCTCTGGGAGTAATTATTATCTAAGATGTGGTGTCTCTGTCTATAATTTTTCCTATAGTACATGTATTATTATCTAGGTATTTTGCAAAACAAAAACAGGATAATTTTATATCCATTTCTTTGTAGTTTGTTTTTCTACTTTTCTTACTCAGTATTGGTTGGGTGCCTGCTACACATCAAACAAGCTAGATGCTGGGAATACTTCAGTGAACAAAGCAAAGAACTTTGCCCTCATGGTACTTTTACTGCAGCAAGGAGATGGAAACAGTAAACAATAAATATAATAGATAAGTAGTTCATGGGGTATATTGGAAGGCAAGAGGTACTACTGAAAAAGGAAAAAGTAGAGCAAGGTGAGGCACTTCAGGTGTGGGCAGAGGGACACAGACTGTAGCATGAAACAGGAGGGTGAAGTTGGGGAGGGTGCCATGACCGTCTTTCCAACAACTGGATTTTACATATTCTAATAGTTCTTCTAACTTGAGTAATATACATTGGTCTTTAAGAAACAGCAGTACCACTGGATAAAAAGAGGTAGATACCCCTGTATTAATGCCCACTATTGCAAATATTACCTAAATCTGAACTCTCTGAATAGTTCATTTATTCTGAGTAACCCTAGCTAAAACAAAAGAATCTGAAGAGCCCATGTAATCTTGGCATTTTATTCAAATACAAAAACACAGTATCTTTCCTCTGTGTGTATTTTTCCTTTCTGTTCTTCTTTCTCGCCTGCCTTTGCCTCTGCTCTGCCAACATGACCCTTGTTGGCACCCAGTGAGCTCTAAGGAGCCACCTTCCTTCCCCAGCTGCTGTAGACTTGACTGTCCAAGAACTTGTCTGTCCTCCCTCTCCCAATCTTGGTTGTAATATCCCATTCCCTCAGGGCTCTGTTGTCTGCTGTGCCAGTAACAGTGCTGGGTGGGGAGGTATAAGAGTAAAGTACAATCCTTTTTTTTTTAAAATATATTTTTTATTAAGATATTACATATGTGTCCTTATCCCCACGTTACCCCCTTCCCCCACACCCCGCTCATGCCCTCACGCCCCCGTTGTCCGTTTCCATTGGTTAGGCCTATATGCTTGCATATAAGTCCTTTGGTTGATCTTTCCCCCTTCCCCCCACCCTCCCCTACCTTCCCTCCCAGGCCCGACAGTCCAATCAATGCCTCTCCGTCTCTGGATCAGTCCTTGTTCATCAGTTTATGTTGTTCATTATATTCCACAAATGAGTGAGATCATGTGGTATTTATCGGCTCTCCAGTTCCATCCATGCTGTGGCAAATGGTAAGAGTTCCTTTTTCTTCTTCCTCTTCTTAAAGAATACCTTTCAGCATTTCATATAATGCTGGTTTGGTGGTGATGAACTCCTTTAGCTTTTTCTTATCTGTGAAGCTCTTCATCTGACCTTCTATTCTGAATGATAGCTTTGCTGGATAAAGTAATCTTGGTTGTAGGTTCTTGCTATTCATCACTTTGAATATTTCTTGCCACTCTCTTCTGGCCTGCATGGTTTCTGTTGAGAAATCAGCTGACAGTCGTATGGGTACTCCCTTGTAGGTAACTGACTGTCTTTCTCTTGCTGCTTTTAAGATTCTCTCTTTGTCTTTTGCTCTTGGCATTTTAATTATGATGTGTCTTGGTGTGGTCCTCTTTGGGTTCCTTTTGTTTAGGGTTCTCTGTGCTTCCTGGGCTTGTAAGTCTATTTCTTTCACCAGGTAGGGGAAGTTTTCTGTCATTATTTCTTCAAATAGGTTTTCAATATCTTGCCTTCTCTCTTCTTCTGGTACCCCTATAATTCTGATGTTGGTATGCTTGAAGTTGTCCCAGAGGCTCCTCACACTATCTTCATATTTTTGGAATCTTTTTTCTTTTTTGGTTGGGTATTTTTTGTTTCTTTGTATCTCAAATCTTTGACTTGATTCTTGGCATCCTCTTGTCTGCTGTTGGATCTCTGTATATTATTCTTTATTTCAGTCAGTGTATGCTTAATTTCTAGTTGGTCTTTTTTCATATCCTCCAGGGTCTCACTAAATTTATCGGCGGTTTCCATAAAATTCTTGAAAAACCTTATAAACATGGTTTTGAACTCTATATCCAGTCGTTTGCTTTCCTCCATTTCTGTCATTTGTGACCTGTTTCTTTGTCTCCGCATTTTTTATGCTTCCCTGTGTTGGTAGAGTGGTTTTGCGTGCTAGATGTCCTGTAGGGCCCAGTGGCTCAGCCTCCCCAGTTACCTGAGGTGGACACTCTTGGTGCACCCCCTTGTGGGCTTTGTGCACAGTCTTGTTGTAGTTATGCCTTGATTGCTGTAGGATCACTGGGAGGAATTGACCTCCAGGCCAACTGGCAGTGAGAATCGGCTGTGTCTGCAGTGGGAGAACTTCTGTGCTGAAGACACCCTTCTGGGGCAAGACTTGCTTCAGTGGGGCTTTGGTGCTCACTGAGTCTGCCCTGAGTGTGTCCCTTATGGATCTGAGGAGTTGTAATCCGGGTGGTCCCCCTCTGACAACACTGGCTCTTGGATCTAAGGAGGTGCTAATTTAGCCTCGGCCTGAGGTTACCCGGCAGGAGCTATGAAGAGAACTGCAGATTCCTCTTCCTTTTTTGGAGTTTGGAGGTGCCCTGATGAGGCCCAGCTGTGAAGCAATGCAAGCTGCTGTGGGGCCTTGGGCCTTCTCTTGGAAGTTCTGGGTCTGTCTGGCCCAGCTGCAATTTGTTAGGTAATTTTCAGGTTGCAAAGGGCCAGGGCATTCATATGCAAAAGCCTCTGCCACAGCCTGGGTGGGGCGGGGTCTCAGGGAATCAAAGGGCGGAGCAAGCAGCTATGGTGGATCCTTAGCCCTGCCCTAAGGGGCCGCGCGTCTCAGTGTCCCGGTAATTGCTGCAAGCACCTCTGAGGGAAAGCCGCCCTTGAGTTCCGAGTTCTGCCTGCTGCCAGACAGTCCAGTTTCTCCCCGTATGAGTCCTGGGTCCCCAGAGACTTCCCGGAACCAGAGTTCAGAGCAGTCGGGAGCTTGTGCCTCCCTCCTGATTCAAAAAGACAGCCGAGTCCTCAGGTGCCAGCCCCTTTCCGC